AGAATTGTAGTCCTTCCGCGAATTTACGTATATGCAAGTCTAAGAACGCTACTTCCGCATCCCTTTCTTTTTCCCAAGTGAAATTGATGGAAGGATATATACTTGCGAGTTGTTGCATGAAGATGAGGAACGACTCCTCTGTGTCCTCCCATGCTATGAGGATGTCGTCAACATAACGCAAATACAGTCTCGGGTAATGGATGGCAAGCGGGAAATCGAACGTTCTGCGCTCTATCTCTCTCATAACAAGTTCCGCTAGGATAGCGGATAAAGGGGAACCCATTGGGACCCCTTGTTTTTGCAAATAGATCTTTCGATTGAAACAGAAGTAATTGTGCTCGGTGACGAAGGTGAGGGCATCACGTATATCGAGCACCTGTTGGATGTTAAAGCCCTCTTTTAGAAGCAGCGAATTAGCCAGCATTACAGCCTCAAAGGTGGGCACTGAAGGATATAAAGATATTACATCTAGCTTGTAGAAAGTATAGGTGTCTGGCTGTAGAGCCCCAATACTCAAAGAGATGGTGGATTTAGCAGCTACAGAAGAGGGAGTAACATATGGGGATCCCAGAACTATTGCGCGTAGGAATTTGGCAAGCACTTTTTCTAAATAGTAGGTGGGATGAGACCACTTGTTTACCAGCGGACGTAACGGCCAGTTTGTGTTATGCGTTTTTGGCTGAAAGAACAACCTTGGACACGCAACATTGGAGGGGGGATTGAGCAACCCAGTTAGGGTTGAGGAAACACCCGGTAAGACGATAATTCTTCTTGCCTTCCTTAATACCATCGGCATAGGGTCCTCACTCATCTCCGAGGAATGTGACTGCATTAGAAATTCGTTGGCCCTGGTTAAAAAGTCATTCTCTCTGCACAGCACAAACCTCCAGTCCTTGTCTATTACGCATGTAGCGTGAGCATGGCTCCGCGCATGCGCCAGCTCGCACTTCACGGAGCTATCTGCTCGTTCGGTTTTCGAATTATGTTTAAATATTTACTTTGTGTTCTTAACGGCTTTAACATAATTTTAGCTTATCTTATGCGTTATATTCTGCATTCGATTATTTTTGTTTAAAAATTTTTTGGTAAATATCTGTATTTGCCTGAGGACGACGACAATAAGTTCGTTGAAAGTACTAGCGATAAAAAACGCATGTAACGCTGAACTCAGTGTCTTTGTTTTTGTTATTATAAATAAATTTAAAAATAAAAAAACATTTTAGAAGTCATAATACACTTTACTGAGAAACTTTCACAATGAAGTAATCATTTTCAGAATATTTTTCATTTTGTTCTCAAACACCTTATTTAAAAATATAAAGACTGAGAATTCAAACAACAAATATTCATATAATTGTAGTTATTTTAACTGTAAATAACAAATATAATACAATTTTTCACTATTTTTGTTTTGTGATTTTTTGATTATAATTTTCTGTTTGTTGCTACCTCTTTACTGTTATTTTTATGCTTTTTTTATGAGATATATTAAATGTTTTTGTTGAGAGCAGTACAGTAATCTCATGCTGTATAGCCTTACTTATTAAATGTGCAAATAAATAAGTAAATATTCAATTATAATTAATTTAAAAAATTTAAACCCTTTAAGCTCCAATTCTTGTTTAATTTTGCACTCATACATATAATCATATCAAAATTCTTTATCAATGTCAAATGTAAAAACACAAAAAAAATAAATTGTAAAAACAAAATGACAGTATTAGACAACAGTATAATTCATAATTATATTTAGTAATAACAAAAAATAATATATTTTTACATTTAAAATTATTATTGTATTAAAATATTTTTATTAATATTTCATACTGAAAATTCTAACATTACTAAGTCACATTTAAGAGAATGCTTAGCCTGAAATTTAAATGTTCAACAATTTTCAATTGTTTTCTTTTGTGTTAATGAATTTGAATTGTTTATTATTAATATATTTTCCAATATTAAACCAAAAATACCATCTACAAATATTTTAAAATGAAATATAAAACTATATAGACACAGCATAGTACAAAAAACAAATTTATAATTTAATAAAATCCACATTCTTACCACTATAACATCAGGATCCATCTTACAAATTTTAGCTAAAAGCAATCCAAGTAATGCTCTTTCAGAATCTGCTAAATCTACTTTTGTGTTCTTATAATTAGGCAATAATTTCTGAAAACCATAAGGAAACACACAAGTGCTTGGTTTTGAAAATACTAAAAGAAAATATGAAAAACTGTATTAAATATTAATAAAATTACAGTTAAATATACATTATTCTAAATGTTTTTGGTTTTAAAGTTTTGAATATTATTAATTAGCATGATTAAATCTTTTATCTCTTTTTGTTTTCTTACATACAAACATTTATAAAATTCTATTACTTTAATTCTAATTTAAAAAAAAAAATTCAAAATAAAATAACTTGTTTCTATTTAAAAATCAAATATTAAATGATTTGTGTTTTCGAAACATTATAAAAATATCTTCAGATACATATAAATTCAGTTAAATAAAGAATATTCTTATAAATGTCTACAGAATTAAAACAACAATATTCAAATCACTATCTAATATACTTATAAATTTTAACACTAAGATATACTTAAAAATATACATACAGAACATATGAACCCTGATACTTAATAATACATAAAAATTTTAATACTTCTTTGATACTAAAAATGAATTTTCGAAATAAATTAAACAAAGAAATATAAAATCATTTAAGCGTGTGACTAAAAATACAGTGGTACCTCAGGATACGAAATTAATCCGTTCCGAAACTGAGATCGTATCATGAAAATGTCGTAAGGTGAATCAACTTTTCCCATACGATTACATGTTAAACCAAATAATTCGTTCCAACGCGAAAAACATACTCAAATTAAAGCCAAGTAATACATTAAAAAAAATAACTGTAGTAAGGAAAACAAATGAAAAATGCGAATTAATGTAACGTCGTATGGTGAGTTTTTGTTCGTATCGTGGAGCAAAAATATGTTCGAATTTCATGTCGTATCCTGAAAATTTCGTATGCTGGGGCGTTCGTATCCTGAGGTACCACTGTATAAAAAATTCAAAAGTGTAGAATATTTTCAAGATTCGAAATTTCCCAAAAAATTATTTCACATTACCATACAAAATAATATATTTTCAAATGAATTAATAATCAAAATATTATAATCAAAAGTATCTTTATTAGCAAAAAGGGATTATCCCTGTTGCGGGTGTTGTACAAATTTAATTTATAAACCATCCTTGATAATAACATTAAATAATATTGTAACATTCAGAAGTTTTTTATACAATAGATTTCATATTAGTTCATTATTAACATAATTAATAATTAATAACAATAGTTAGATAATCATAACATTATATCCAAACAACATTAGTCAAGTTTTACAACAGTATCATAAGTTAACTCTGCTGATTTAATTTTCTAACATTTCTGTCACCTTGATAAAGTATTTATATAAATTGTAGAGATCTTTTTTATTCAAATTATTTAGAATATTTCTATAATCTTGGTGAGTATTATCATGTAACATTCGCAAGACATTGAGAGAGTCACGTATATTTAAAAGTCTTTGACATTTCTGAAGTAGGTGGTCGATTGAAGATTCTCCTGATTTACACAATGGGCAGTAATTATTTGATAAATTAATATACATATTATTAATATACAGTGAGAATTTGTTTAGTCGTAATTGTGATATTAGTCTTTTCACATTGAAGTTGTACAGATGGGATTTAAAAAATTTTTAAGTACCATGATGATAAGTATTATGATTTAAACTGGTTTGATCAGCATTTATAGATTGCGAGATGGCCGAATCTATTAACGTGGTATATCCAAATTTCCAATCCCAGATACTATCTTTGAGTAACAATTCTGATACACCAAAAGAATTTAGTATTTTATTAATTTAGTTTGCCAAAGTTGTATTGATGTTGGTTTTTTGCTGCTTTTAATTATTTCATTATGTAGAAAGCTGATATTACTGTCACTTTTAAATTTTAAACGTTAATAGAATTTAATGATTCGTTTTATAAAGAACGGGAATGTGCAGATAAGGTTGATTTTGTGACGAATTGCGTAGCCTGGAACAGTTCTTTCTAAATTAAATAGTCTGCGGAGGAAATAAATATGGAAAGATTCTAGTTTATACAAGTATTCAAGTCCCCAGATTGGAAATGCGTAGTATATGATTGAATTAATAATTGAATTATAGAGCTTCATATGGATAGTTAAGTTGGAAATTTTTAATTTATAATATAAACATAACAGATTATCTATGGCAAGTTTTACCTTGTTGTCTAAGTATGAAAGATGTGATTTAAATGTATGGTTCCAGTCAAATACAACACCCAAATAATTAATTTCATTTACTGTCTGCAGTGGATTATTATTTAGATATAGCACAGTTTATTTTTTGGAGATTCTACTATTGTTACGAAATATAAGAACTTTAGTTTTGGCAGAGTTTATAGTTAAGTGAATTGATTTAAGATAAGAATTTAACTGATTAATTTTTCTTTTTCACCAATCTCTATCCCATCTGAACGATCTTGAAAGATTTGATCAATTTCAAGTAAATAGATGTTGAATAAGTAAGGTGACAGGGGGTCATCCTGAAGTATTCCTCGTGTTAATGTTAATGATGAAAAAACAGATTTTCCCTGTTTAATAGTTGTCACATACACTGAACCAATTTACCGTGTGGTATGATAAACGACGAAAAAATAACGAAAAACAAACGTTTTCGAACCCCTTCTGGGCTCTTCATCAGGTTCCTACAGTTTTAGCTCGTAAATTCAAATAACGAATGTCGTTAAAATAAGTTCGATCTTCAGTTCGAATCGTTCTTTCAAACTTATACAACGCGCATGTGTGCTGAGTCTGTGTACTCGGATATAACGGGCGGCTAAATCGTGTTGTGAATCAACTCTTGCCAGGCCATTGACAAAAGCATCTCCTCTTTAAAATTTATGCATGTAGTATCGATAGAGGCTTTAAAGATGTGCATCGCCTCTAACCATTTGAGATGATCATTGGGAGGCGCGCCGAGGAGGAGATTGGCCCGCGTAAAGTCGGCAACTATTTCCGGGTCCATTACGTATGTTGCGAGGGCCGTGTTGGTTCTCCCGTGACGAATATCTGCCTGATGTTCTTGCATTCTGATGCCTACGGACCTTTTAGTAGAGCCTATATATACTAAATCCCTATTGAATCTGTTGTCTCTCAAAGGGACACTATAGACTCTGGGTCTTCTGCTGGGGTTAGGAGGGTCCTTCCCATTATTTAAGATGTTAAAAATGGTGGGACACCTCCTGTACACAATACTTATTTGGCGCTTCCTGGCAATCTTAGCATATATAGATCTTAGGTATGGGTTATATGTGACAGGGATCCGTTCTATGTCTTCCAGTTGGTTATCATTGTGTTGGTCCATAAGCCGTGCACTGTCAGCATATATCCGGCTATAATGCTGTACCATCCTACGTATAACTTTGTTATACCCATGTTCTGCGGCTACACACTGTATAGACGCTAGCTCCCTATCTCGAACCTGGATGTTAGAAGAATGTGTGAAGGCTCTTCTGATTAAGGCTTTAAATGCCGCAGTCTTGTAGGGAATCGGATCGCATGATCCCACCGGGATGTACGACGACATAGATCCTGGTTTATGATATACTGTAGTGCTGATGCCACCATTCTCTAACCTAATATTTATATCTAGGAAATGGACCTCGGTGGGGTCAGATTGTTCTAATTCTAGCCTCAGCCCGTACTGACGCTAGAATTATTATTAAAAGAATCTACTAAGGCTGTTATATCAGGCACAATTTTCCACAAAATAATAATGTTGTCACTATACCTCCTATATAATGCGATGTTAAAGAGTAATTGTAGGAGGACTTTGTTCTCCAACTGCCGGACTACCATCTCACATAGGTCCCCTGAAACTGGGCTGCCCATGGGGACCCCTATGCCTTGTGTGTAGACCTCTCCATTGAACTGGAAGACAGAATTATAACATAACAGATGTGCCATCTCTAGAACCTGGTTGTGTAAAGTGTTATCCCCGACAATGCTAAACAAAATGTCCCTAAGTGCACAGAAAGCTGGGGGGAGTTCAATGGAAGGGTATAAGGACTTAAAGTCCAACACTGTTATGATCAATAGGATGCAACCTCTTTCAATTGTGTTATGAGCTCCACCGGGCTAGCAATGGTGTACGGGTAACCCTCCAATTGTGGAGAGAGAAGGGTATGTACAGCCTTCTCTAACTTCTGTGTAGGCGCTCTAGCTTTGTCCACAACTGGTCGGAGTTGTTGGCCCGGTTTATGTGTTTTTGCGAAAGCAAACAATTTAGGGACGTTCAGGGAGTCAACTGTTAAGTTATCCAGTGCCAAGTGCTTAGTGAGACCGGAACCAGCGAAGCGCTTCACTCTGGAATGCAGCTTATCGATAACACACTCGTCAGCCCTATCGCAATGCGTGAGTGTTAAGTATTCCTGTAGGCCTCTTTCATAGGTGCCACGCTTCATGAGAACCATGGATTTAGTTTTGTTGGCCCTGACAAGAGTGATGTTGTTAAGTTTCATCCACCGCACCGTACGTCGTAGCTTGTCTCTTAGATCCGCTATCTCAGGTGACTCCTTGGAATTCTTAATTCTTAACGTGGCCATCCAACGATAGTATTCCTTTTGTCTATCTGATAGTCCTCGTACTAGAATTTCCAGATCAGGAATGAGGCTCCTTGTGTCCGCCTTCTTTGGGGGTAGTGCAAAGGCTGGTCCAAACTTGAAGACATCCATCACAAAACTCGGTAGGGTTAAGTTATCCCACACTATAAACGGGAAGGAGGGTTGTTTGCGACTCCTGGGAACTTGGAAGCATAAAATCCACTGGAACTTCTTCTGGTAATGCCTTTTGAGATTGATTCTAAGCCTATCCTGGATGTTGACTATCTTGGCATTCTCTTCCGATAGGATCCCCGGACCCAACTGGAACAAAGAATTTTCAATTTCCACCACTTTTGTTAACTTAGAATAGAGTTGTTTCCTGGTGCAATGAATGGCTCTGTTTAGACACATCATCCTCACTTTACCAAAAAGGGGTTCGGTCCCCGGGGGAGGTGTATCCGGAAAAAGGACATGGGTACGACATTGTTTTTTTTACATTCCAACAAGAACTGCAGATGAGCTCTGGCACTAGTTAGGCCTATCACTGTTCTACGGTAGATTTTAGCTGGCATTGCTTAACTATAAAAACAAACTACTCACCACACCTCAATAAAAATCACATACACTGAACCAATTTATGGTGTGGTACAATAAACGACGAAAAAATAACGAAAAACAAATGTTTTCGAACCCCTTCTGGGCTCTTCATCAGGTTCCTACAGTTTTAGCTCGTAAATTCAAATAACGAATGTCGTTAAAATAAGTTCGATCTTCAGTTCGAATCGTTCTTTCAAACTTATACGACGTGCATGCGTGCCGAGTCTGCCTACTCGGATATAACGGGCGGCTAAATCGTGTTGTGAATCAACTTTTGCCAGGCCATTGACAAAAGCAACTCCTCTTTAAAATTTATGCACGTAGTATAGATAAAGGCTTTAAAGTTATTTTTTCGTCGTTTATCATACCACACCGTAAATTGGTTCAGTGTATGTGATTATTATTGAGGTGTGGTGAGTAGTTTGTTTTTAATAGTTGTGTTATAAGTTGAAAATAACTTAAATATTGTAGTAGCAAATTGGTTTCCTGATCCTTTAGCTTTTAACTTATGCACTAATAGCAGAACATAAACAGAATCGAAGGGTTTTTGAACATCTATAAAAGCTACATAGATCTTTCTATGTTTTTTACTCAGTTGAAGTCGTATTATGGATGATAACAGGAAAATAGCAGATTCTGTTCCTTTATTTTTGAAAAAGACATATTGAAACTTCGCTTTGAGACCCATTATCTTGGTCCAGTACTGAAATTTTGTAGCTAGTAGTGATGTAAAACATTTTCTTAGTTGACAATAATGCAATTGGCCTATAATTATTTGGAGAAAGTTTATCACCTTTTTTTGTACAGTGGAACCCCGGTTAACGAACGTTCCACCGAGTCCGTTCGTTAACCGAAGCAATTTTTCCCATAGAAATTAATGCAAATACAATTAATCCATTCTAGCCGTCAGTATTTTTGTAATTTTATTTGTAAAACGGGTTTTCTTTGATTCTTTTCAAAAAAACAGTTCAAACTTTTGCATCAACCCAATATAATTTAATATCCACATGTTAAAAGCGAAAACACTATTGTTAAGTCGGACCAAAGTTTAGGGAGAAGTAAAAAAAAAAATTGTACTATAGTTGTCAAAACAAATGCGATGCGAAAACGAATGACATAACAGATCAGGTGGACCAGGTGGAATGTCTGCAGGGAAAATGAAACTCTGACAGAAGCGGTCATAAACAGATCTAGGTTAAATTTTTGGAAAAGGGGAACGATTTGACGAGTATAAACGCAGTTTTCCTAAAAATTCTATGGCGATTAATATGTGTCGTCTTCATCTGGATTAAGTCTGAAGTCGTGCCCGCTAAAATTTGTGTTGTGTCTCGCGGATCGCTCCAGTCGTTGCAGCTCTGTCACCTACCATCACTTCTGTGACCAAGTGAACCCATCTCGTCCGCTCTGGGGCTACGATTGATCAGCTTGCACTATTGTAGGATCAGCGATAAGCCATGCCTCAGTGCTGAGAGAAAATACTGTAGATAAGCCATTTCCAACTACCTCAAATATGTAAGCATCTTCCCGTGCTAATAAACGATTTTCACTGTAAAATACTTGTCATCTTTGTCTCCTCCGCCACCACCAACATACGAATGGACCCTAGACCATCACCAACACACAATTAACTGATTCCCCCTAAAAGTCGGCAAGCTTACAAATTTGACACAAAAAGCCAATAAGTTCATTTTCCGAGACAAAATTTTTGCAAAATAAAAGTTTGTTAACCAATTTGGTCGTTAACCAGGACGTTCATTAACCGGGGTTCCACTGTATATCATTGTGAGTATTACTGATTTCGAGGAGTCACGATAAGTGGTTGTTTTGTACATAGAATTGAAGAGATGTAACAACTTTACTCTTGCTTGAGTTGGTAGTGCTTTTAAGAATTTGGTTGGTATAAGGTCACTTCCTGGTGTTGTGTCTTTGCGAGTTTTATTTATAATTTCATCTAATTCCTTGTTTGTAAATTTATCGTTGAGATAATCATTATTTGAGTTATAATTAAACATTAAATTATAGATGCCTCGAGTAACAGGAAAACGCTGATAAAATTTTTTCTATTCCTCAAAATTTATGTATTATTGACCAAAAAGTTTTGCTGTCTTTACTATTTTTTAGTAGTCTTGTTTCAAGTTGTGATAGATATTTTTTCTTTTTTGCTTTGATTAAATTATTATAAATTTGTTTGTATTTCCTGTAATTTATGAAGTTTAAATTATTTGAATTTTCACAGAATATTTTTAATTTTGTTTGCTTCATGTTTTTCATTCACAAAATCGTTCTGTTAACAATTTTTAAACTATTTCCAAAGTCTAACTTTAACTTCAAACTTAGCACACTTAGTATAAAATTTTATGAATTATAGTAAAGCTTAATTGTTCAAAATTCTGTTTAGCTGAAAAACATTGAGATATCTGTATCACATATTTTACACTGTGTTTTATGTGAATTTTTATGTATAACAAAAACAAATTAAAATTGACAAAATTACATTAAATGCTAATAGAAACCTTACCTGTAATGATAAAATAACTTTATGGAACTATTTTCATTAAAAAAATGAAAAGATATTGAATATTAGAATGTTTTAGTGTTAACACTCTTTGCCATTTAAACTTAATATAAAAAAAAGATTATTATATTTATAGAAATTAATTTATAATAATTTAATTTTAATAAAAAATTTCTTAATCTCATTGAAATAATTTGAATTTCAAAAAAAAAATTTAAAAATCAAAACAAAATTACCATTGTAAAACTGTTCGCTCACTTTTAATTTTAAAAATAAATATTTTAATTTTTGAATATTTTGCAACTTACCACAGAAATGAGACTGAAAAGGTTGATTTGGTGCAGATTTATCCAGTGGAAATTTGGAATGAATAAGACAAGATGCAGCAATAATCTAAATCATTTTAAAATATTAATTTATGAAAAAAAAATAATAAAACTTTCTCAAAAATAATATTTAAATTAGAAATACTATCTTCTAATTTTGTTAATTTATCTAGAGTAGTATATGCAGCACAAAATTTTTTTGTGCTGAATACATATATAATAAATATATATTAAATTTTGAATATTTTAATAACTGTAGATAAACAAACTTCATATTAAATTATTAATTCTTTTTAAATGAATAAATTTGCTAGGATTTTTATATGCCTTTCTCATGATATTTAAAGATTATAATGCCTATGATATTAATAAAAACCAAAAATTAATCAATCAAAATAAATTTATTGTAATTACAACAAAATTTATAAATTCAAATCTCACTCTGACCAGAGATTTTTCACAGATATTATTAAACTATTATAAAACTTAATTTGAAATTTTTATTAATCATTAATGTTATCAATAGAAAGCAATATCCACCTCATCTATCTGCAGTCAATACTTGAATCATTTAATTAATTAAATTAACTCAATTCTAATTCCAGAAATTTTTGGTACAATATTATCAGATATTTAAAATAAATAATCATACTGTGTTGTACTACTTGCAATATGATAAAATGAATAAAATATAATATTAAAATCAAACAATTGCTAGATTATACTAGACTGTATTACTACTGCACTAATAATAATTAAATGCTAAGTAATTTGGTACTATAGGTAGGTGTTAGCTGTCATCTCTTGCTGAATTTAAATTGAATTTTTGGACAGACTTTGTCTTCAGAAACTTAATAATTGCCATTCAGACAAAAATTTACAAATGAAAGTTTTACAATGTATCGTCACCAGGGGCAGCTTTTTTAAAATCTACATTTTCCTGTGCTCATTTCCAGTAGATAAAAGCCATAACACCCCAAAAAGGTATGGAAGGAAGCAAGAAAAAAGTCTGTATGTCACTGATTCCTTTTTAGAAATTCTTGTAATTTAATTGGATATATTTTTTTTTTGTGTGTTTTTAAAAGGACTTTTTTAACTTCTGGTGACCAATAGCCTAAAAAGAAAGGTCAATCCCCAAGAAAGTGTGTAGTCTGGAACATGAGATAAATAAAAGGTGGTTCCTTTTTGGACAGACTTTGTCTTTGGAAACTTAATAATTGCCATTCGGACAAAAATTTACAAATAATAGTACATAATAACTAAAGTAGTGGAATGGAGTTTCTCATCTTTCACTCATGCTGGCTGAACGACACCTACTCGTATGTCGCTTCTCTGGTCACAGATTAACTTAACATTGAAAAATTGACAGATGCTAACGAATGTTTAAGCTAAGAACCTGATTACCAATCAGAAAGCGAAANAATTATAATTAAATTAATAGTAGTAATAACAATTCATTATTAGCAGTAGTAATATAGCCTGATACAATCTGGCAATCATTTGGCTTTAATATATAACTATCAGGTTTTATATGTTGATATTTGTAAAATATAATATATTAAAATGTTTAAGACTAATATTTCATTGAGAAATAGATCTGAAAATACAGTGGAACCCCGGTTAACGAACTTAATCCATTCCGCGACTCCGTTCGTTAACCGAATTTTTCATTAACCGAAGCAATTTTTCCCATAGAAATGAATGCAAATGCAATTAATCCGTTCTTGTCCTTGAAATTTTTGTGATTTTATTTGTAATACACAGTAGATTTTCTTTGATGAAAATGTAGGAAAACGTAGTACAGTATCTATCACTACAGCAACAAACATGTAAACTTTATTTAATAAAATAGCACTGTACATACCTTCGTTTGTTGTAGTTGGTGGCAGAAAAGTGGAGATATACGAACCTTAATGCTTAGAAGGTGAATCCCCTCCAAAAAAATAACGGGTAGCACTTCATCGGAAGATTCTTCGAGTCGAAGTCTCTTTCGGTAAGAAAGCCAACGAGTGGCTAAGCGGTCTTAGTACCCTGAACACAGGGAGTTCGTTCGTGGGTTCACACATCGCTCAGACGAGCTGGTCATGTGGAGTTTTCCGGGTTTTCTCCACATCTGTAACGCCTAAATAGGGGCCAGTTTCCCTTAAAAACACCTCCCAGAAAGCATTCCCCGTAGGCAGATCGCCCGAGTGTTGCGTTACCATAACTTAAATAACAAATGAACTCTTTCCGTAAGAAAAAAGAAATTGATCTAAAGTTGATTGTCTTACTCTTTTAATCAAAATTTTTCTCAAATGCGATAGCACATTGTTGTTTTCTATTGCCACTATGACTTTTTTCTTTCTTGGATTATTGATTAAATATATAAATCACAAAACTGAAAAAAGAAGTATAGCACAAACACTCGGAAAAGCAATGCTTAACTCGCGCATGCCTAACACCAACTAAAATTTGACACAAAATACTGTTATGTTTGTTATCCGAGACAAAATTTTTGCAAAATAAAAGTTCGTTAACCGATTTGGTCATTAACCAGGACGTTCGTTAACCGGGGTTCCACTGTATTTGATAATTTAAATTAACTTTACCTATATCTATATTAATAGTTTTTAGAATATGTTCACTTCAGAAAATATCAATAAATTTCAATTTAATTCTATGAAAGAAAATAAAATTAGAATTTAATAAATATAAAAATAGTAGGTATATATAAATAAAAACTTTGCTCCTGTTTCTTCTGTCATTTTAACACACCAGTGACAGTCCATAAAATTTCACAAACATATTTTAACTTTTTACTTAAATGTATTATTTTGTGAATTTTGGCAAAAACACCAGAGGACACTAATTTCCATTTTTTGCATTTTATTGCAGAGACAGAGCCTCTAAAGAAAGGCCATCTCAGTGTTTATGAAATTTTGTGGTCTGTCACTGGTGTGTTAAAACAACAGAGAAGAAACTGGTTTTTCTTTGTATTTACAGAATATTTTTATATTTATTAAATGTAAATACCATTGATCATATTCTAACTTTTTACTTAAAATTACAATTGTTTTATCACTTAACAGCATGTGTGAATTATGAAGTTGATTGAAACTGATAAATGGAATAAATATGACTCCATTAAAACTATACAATGGATGGAAAGTCTCTAGGCATTGAGAAAGTGCTATAATTTTTGTAATAATAATGCAATCATAATAAAATCTGTGTGCGCATGTACAGCAATCAACCAAATTTTATAATTCCAACTTTGGTGATGTGGGCAATGACCAAGACAGGTCTCTCACAGTGGCAAAAAAGATAGCTGACAGCTTGTCTGTTCACAAGCAAGTGCAGATTGCTGATGCTACGAGGTGTGAAAATCAGTGGTTGCACTGCAGAGATAGTGGTGTATGGTGACGGGACATCATGCAACAATCTGTCCAGAAAAAAATTAAGAACTGTCATTTATAGCTAAAATGACTGTAGGTTCAGTTGTAAACATACAAAGAAGTGGCCATTTATCTACATCATAATGTAAGGAAAATGTGTCATCAGTAGATGACATTGATGCCTACATTGAATTTTAAGATATGCACCTGTATTTTCATTTAATAATGTACAGGTGAAATAATTTTTATCATTTTTGCATTAGAAATACAGAAATTATAATGATTTCTCAATGCCTAGTTACTTTCTACCCACTCTGTTAATTAACTCATTTCATTCAAATTAAGAGAATTTAAATATATTTCATACAATTTATATGAAGTTTAAAGACACAATTCATTCCAATCATAATCATAAGCTATAAGTTGACTGCATTATATTAATCATATATGTATATAGTAATTATACAAATTATTTTAACTATATTTGTTATTGAAAAATGACTATAATTCACATCTATTGAAAAAAACAGTGGTGAAATATTAATATGCAAATGCTATTTCACATTTGAAATAAATTTTTAACAAAATAATAACTTAAGAAAAATTACCTCATTTTGCTGATTATTTGGATTTATAACTGTTTGTAATGATAATGAAAGAACTGTAACTGGTGGGATTAATTCTTTTTCAGTAGCCAAAACAAGATTTTCTGGTTTGGATATTAAAACCTAAAAATTTTTATTTTAATGATTAAATTATATACAAAACTTAAACATTTAGATGAATAACAATAGTATTTCTAAATCTGTACTAAATCAACAACAGTCACTGCATTCTGATTACATGACTGTATGGTGTGAACTTACTGATGATTTTATTCTCGGGCCATTTTTCTTTGAAAATCTCACTCCCGAAGGCCATAAAAAATGCTCTGTCACATGTGCACATTATTATGAATTCATTCAACAGTAAGTCATTAAAAGCATTGCATTGTTCATTCAATGTATCTTGTGTAGTAATTTATAATATAATGTAACTTCTTGACAAATTTGAATATAATGTAACTTTATTTTCATTATTTAAAATAAAAGATCTAAAAATTACCATTACAATAAATGATTTTCAATTAAAACTGAAAAACCTTACCTCAAATTTACACCAACTTACAGGTGGAGTTGAAACAACTAATCACACATTGGAAATATATAAAAATAAAATTAATCACAATAAATAATCTATATGCATTTAAATTACTATATAAAAAGAATTCATTATTTATTAAAATCTTAACTTTATATCATTACATTCTGAATATCGCACTAAATTATTACAGCATTACCTATTTTAATGACCAAAACAATAAGATAATACATACATCCAGATTTTAATCCATTATAATAAGTTTGTAATTGTTTTTGTTGGTTTATAAATAATTTGAAATAATCTGATAAATGACCAAATTAATTTGATACTAGATATGTTCTAATCAAACAGAGATGACTTGTGAATGCATTAACACAGAAAAGTCAGGAAACAAAGTGTTAATTATGTTTAACAATATAATAAATATAATTACAACTTTTAACAAAGATAAAACTTTGCTTCAGTCCTTTCCTTCTGTTGTTTGCACCATCAGCAGTTTATAAAATCACAAAACTCATGGAGACAAGCTTCCTTTTTAGGCTGCTGCCTCTGTAGTAATAAAATGCAAAGTATTGTGATTTTATGAACTGCTGATGGTGCAAACAACAGAAGGAAAGGACTGAAGCAAAGTTTTATCTTTGTTAAAAGTTGTAATTATATTTATCATATTATTAAATGTAAATTACTGTTGGCCATGTTAAATTCATTATTAATTTTATTTAAAATGTTAATTATGTAGTAAAATAAAATAAAAGGTTAAATATTTAATAATAAAACATTGTAAATGATAATGTTGATGAAAGAAAATAGTCTTCATGTTCTTGTTACATAGTTTTTATATTTTCTTTCATTTTCAAAAAATAATAATTAAAACCACTTTTCCATGGGTTTTCAATATTTTTAAAATTTTTTATTAACTTAATTAAAGATGTTAAAATTTTTGTCTTAATACAATAAGCAAATATTCATATTTAATGCTAAAATGAGAAGCTACATAACACAGAAATCCTATAATAAAGGTTTTATTCAAAACAGAAAAATAAGCATACATCATCATCCATGTTTTGGATAATCCCATCTCAATAATTACAAATAAAAATAAATTAATAGCTAACTACAATGTTTAATTTTAAGATAATGTGAAATGTTAAATATATAATAATAAAGTAATTACTTACCAGGACATTTAATTTCTAACCAGCAAGGACCTTTCAATTTACAATCTAATAATAACTGTTCTAAACTGGATGTATTTGTACCAAAAATATGAGAAAATGTATTTCCACTAACATCAGCAGGCAGAGCAGGAAAGTTTGCCTAAAATTAAATTTTACTTATCATATAGCATTCTTTTACTTATATATTTTTTAAATCAACAAATTCTTTTGATTTTTTTAATGCATACTTAGTATAATAATTAATTATATACGAGGTCTGTTCAAAAAGTATCAGACTTTTATTTTTTCCGTGTAAACCAAAGATGCGCGGGAGGCCTCTTTCGGTGGAGTTATGGAGGGGACAGTCATGCACAGCCCTGAATTTTTTCCCGCCTGCAGGAAGCGTCAGTCATTGGCAGTCGGCCCATGAGTGAGGTCATGTAGCGAGCTCTCGTCGGATTCCACTAAGTTGGAAAATGACTGAACAACGTGAGCAGCGATATTACATCAAATTTTGCCAAAAACCTTGGCGATACCCGAGTGTAAACCATTCGCAAGATTCAGCAGGCTTTCGGGGACGATCCTCGAGGCCAAAAAAAGCGCGGCAGGTCCGCAGCAATATCAAGGTCATGTTGACAGTTTTTTCGACACTCGTGGGGTGGTGTATTGTGAGTACGCACCACGAGGCCAAACCATCACAAAGGAGTACTACACCAGGAGGTCTTTCGTCGTCTTTCTGATGCAGTGCGATGCAAACGACCAGATCTGGGGTCGATCAAAACTTGGCAGCTCCATCGTGATAACGCATCCGCCCATTCTGCGCATCTGATTCGGGCTTTCGTCGCCAAACACAACACTCATGTGGTTCGTCACACTCTGTACTCTACCCACATGGCTCCATGTGACTTTTGGCTATTTCCCAAGCTGAAAATGCCACTAAAAGAAACCCAATTTTAGTCGAGAGAAGACATCGTGTGGAATGCGACGGACCGGCTGATGGCCATTCCAAAAGATGCGTTCCAGCAGTGTTTCCAGCAATGGCAGGAATGCTGGGAGAAGTGTATACACTACCAAGGAGACTACTTTCAAGGGGATTAGGGTTTTGTATCTCAAAATCAATAAATTTATATTTGCCGACCAAAGGTCTGATACTTTTTGAACAGACCTCGTATATATATAAATTAAAAACAAATGTTTGAACAATATATCATTTAAATTATGTAAATTATGTAAAAATCTAATCAATAAACAAAAATTATTGATTAGATATAACTTTATAAAGATTTATTCCAAGGATTAATGTAGTAGTAGGTATAGCGACCAATAAATTATTTTATGTTTAATTAATTGTGACATCATTTTGTGTTTAACGAAAACAAGCCTCTGCAGATTTAATTCTTTTACGTCATTAAATAAATCCTTTATTTCTTCACATTTATTTTCACATATTTTATATACTATTTCCTCACAAGCAAATAAGCTTAGGGCATTACTGCACATGGACAAAAACAACAATCTGATATGAAAATACAATAGCATAGTCCCAGCATTATATTTTTTGAATTGTTAATATTATACACAATTTCCTCGTGCACTTGTGTTTGTTACACTTCAAATATCACAATACCACCATATATAAAATAAATACAAAAAAATTTTAGAAATAATAATAGTAACAAGCAATTATTTATTGTGGCATCATCACAATGCCAGGCTGCAATTTTTAATCATATTTTTTATTTAAGTTCAAATATATGCTCTCAACCTAAAATTAGTAATATCTTGTCCCTGTACATCATACTTTTCCTTTAACAATAGCATCAAGTCAGTCATCCATCTAACACTTTTCGGGGAAAATTTTTGAATTGAAATAACATGACTTCCAGTTTGCATCGGAAGTTCATGTATTAATTGGGGCCTGCTTCCTGGAATCTTTCCAGATTGGTCTTGGCTTTCACATGACTAAATCAATTCTCGAGATTAAAGGACAGACAGTCTGACAGACAACAGTAGGAATTTATAAGTCTACAATTTTCAAAAATTGAAAATTGTGTGAGGTTCTGGATAGGTCCAAACCTTCACTGAAATTTATGTTAAAATAATTTTTTAAAGAATAAAACTAGAAGCTAGAAATCATTTTTTTGTATGAAAATATGATGCAAACCAATAAGCAATAGAAGAATGTAAGTCCTAAGATCGACCATCTCCAGTTGAATTAAACATTGATTTTGACCTCTTCTGTGAGCTAAGGCTGATATCTTGGTTACACTTAGTAATGAGTGATCAACCTTGTTACACTTAGTAATGAGTGATCAACCAGAACGAGGAAAAGTGACCAATCATAATGGACAATTGAGGACAGAAAAAATCCTGAAAATTCGAGGACATGACGGCTTCTTCTCTCAAAAGTTCTGAGTGTCAGACCAAATGTTGTGTATGTGTCTCATGCCCATCTTCATTTCCATCTACCATTCTCGGATTGACATCTTCCCATCATAGGAAGTCGACTGCATTGTCCTGAAGTCATCAAGGGAACTGTCATTTGCAAACCAGAAACACTCCTCCTTTTGGAACTATCTTGGAAAGGAGAGGAAGACTCAGAGGCTGCTGTCGACTTAGAACTTCCAAGATGGCAGATATCTTGTAAGCTCCTTTTGTGTCAAATAAATGATTTCTTGTAAACCTAGAGTCTGTCTGGGTACTGATTGCACCCAAATGTGACCCTCTCAATTCCTCATCAGTCCATCACATCCTTGTTGGACACCTTACAATTGCAATCCAATAATAATGTGGTAAAATAATAATGACTACATAAAAACATAAAAACTAAACTAAAATTTCATAAGTTTGAACCTACATCATATAACTTCAGTGACCTAGTGTCTTATTTGCTTGGCTATCACCACTCTTGGATATGAAACTTCCAAATACTTATAAGCTAAACACTAAATTTTCAGATACCCATTTTTTGGAATCACTTGAGAAGTGGGCCCTATTATTTGTACAAGGAGCTGTTTGTGTTTAAGACTACATGCTCACTAAAGTTCCATTCAAATTGGAGACCAAATGTCTGGTTCTCTCCTTGTGACAGCTTAACATATTACTTTTGCTTTCCAGATGCCAAACTGATAAAGCTACTGGCACTTGCATTAATTAGTAAGTAAAACTGGTGACAATAAATAATATGAAATGGTGAAAAAAAATTAAAAACTGACTAAATAGTGGTGTTATTTTTAAATTTTCCAGAGTGACCCCTGAATAATGTATAGGTTTAATAGTGTGCTGTTTTTCTCTACAAGAGTTACAGCTTCATGTAATTGTAATGTTTCTTATTTTTTTATAGAAATACTTCTTGTAGTGTCTGTATTTGTATTCCATTTACGAAGAATATGCTAAGGTAATATCTGTAAGGCTTTGTCCTCCCTCTTTACAAAGTAGAGTCAGTCTTTCTGTGGACAATTTAGGATGATGCTTGTTGTTTTATTAATGTTGCTCATGTTTTCTTTTAAAGTTGTTCTAATTCTGTGTACGCCCAATTTATAACACCAAATAGGTATTAGGACGAAACAAGTGTTTATTGTTTTAAATGTGTTGTTATTATTAATGTTGTTATAATTATTATTAGTATTGCAATTAATTTTCAAGTTTTGAGACATGCTAATTCTGATAAAATTAAATAATTGATAACAATATCAATAGTTAAAATTTTAAAAAATCTAATACGAGGGGGAAACCAAAAAAAAAAAAAAAACTGGATTTTTTGTATAAAATCTTTATTAACTTTTTTACAAAATTTCTTCAGTCACCTTCAAAGTACTCTCCATTAGATGCGATGCACTTGTTAAGTCTTTTTCCCCACTGTTTGAAGCATCTCTGGAATTCTTCAACCTTGATATCGTCCAATGCCCTTAGTGAAGCTGTTTTTATCCCCTCCACATCATCAAAACGCTTTCCTTTTAGATTTTTCTTCATTTTCAGAAACAGAAAAAAGTCGTACGGGGCTAGGTCTGGTGAATACGGAGGGTGGGGAACAACAGGCCATCCCCAGGAGGCCAAATAATGGGTCACTCGTAGGACCATGTGTGCAGGGGCGTTGTCGTGACGAAGGAACCAGTCACCTGCTCGCCAAAGTTCCAGGCGTTTCCTTTGCACATCCTCTTGCAGATGTCTTAACATTTTTTTGGCAAATTTTTTCAATGCTTTCATCATTTCGAGATGTTGAAGGATGACCAGAACTTCACAGGTGGAACAAAACAACAGTAAGAGAAACACAACACTATGCTCAAACGTAAACCTACAAACTGACGCCATTTGCACAGCTGTTTCGTGAAGGTCTCTACTAACCCCATGTAACGGGAGAACTCTCTACTACGTCTATGAATGGCAACACGCTCTCAGTTCAATTTTTTTTGGTCTCCCCTCGTATACATTAAAAAAATATCTTTTAACAATTTATACAAAAAAGTAAATCTGCACTGAGCTCTGAAATTCCTATAAAACCAATTTTTCATTGAGGAAATACAGATTATAAAAATACATAATTTAGTTTATAATTAAAAAAAAATTCAAATCTTTTATTCTACTATTAAAAATACTTATTTAAAAATCATATCTGTTTAAATTTAAAAATTTATAAAACCACATATGAATGATACATACTGAATATCTCACTTCAAGATATTTTGCTTTATAAGGAACATCTTTTTTTTCAAAAGCATAACATTTTGATGTAACCTATAAAAAATTAATTGAAAAATTAAATTCTCATAAATACAACATAACAAAAATATATGTTTAATTAATGTATCTATATATTTCTGTATTGTTTAAGCTTGATATAAACTCCAGGTATAGTGTTATGTTTCAGATATGTAGATGACTATTTAATAATTTATAACTCCCAAGAAATCAATAGTAGTGCAATTCTGAAAGTAGCAGAAAATATAGATAAAAATATTAAGTTTGATATCAAAGAAGAATGTGGGAATAAATTAAATTTCTTGGATATAATTTTTGAATGAGCCAACCAAGTGAGCCAACTAGTTTCACATACACCATTTTTGAAAAATCTTGTAATATTAAAAAAACAATAGATTTCTGCTCAAACTGCTCGATGAAAACTAAAAAGGGTGTATATTATAGATTTAAAGAAAATTTTTAATAGAACTACATAAGAACAAGATATAATACAAGGAGTAACAAAAGTTAATAAAAAATATTTATTAAATAATTACCCAAACCTAATATTGAAGAAATTGTACAACCACTTCCTCATTCACAGGTACGATATAAAAAATATTAAACTGGAAGCAGTTTACATAAAATTACCTTACAAAAAAAATATTTTTGAAAAATGCTTAAATAAAATGTGAAAATTTAATCTATGTACAGCCCTCACATTATGCAATAAAGTAAATATATTCCACAATAAGATTTGTACAAAAACTAAAACAGTAAAAAAGATTATGCAGGTATCATTTATTCTTTACAATGTACATGCCAATCCCATATTATTATATAGAAGAGATAGGTAGAACCTTAGGTAAAACATTAAAAGAACATGATGTTGCTATAAGTCTTAAACATAAACAATCACCATGGTATCATCACAAAGAACAGACAGGTTGCACAATTGATAAAAACCAGATTAAAATTTTACTTTATGAAAAGGACATATACAAAAGGTAATTTAAAGAACACAGCAATCAAGAATAGTTTACATGAAGGCAATCTGCTAAAGACATGTGAAGAGATACAAGTCATCAAGAGGTGGTATGACATCATCTCTTGATTGTGGATAGGTCAGGGAGCAGTAAATCTATAGACCACAAGGTGGTTACACTTTAACACAACATGAAGTTTACTTTTAAAGACTAATGGCCTATTATGATTGCAGAAAACATCCATAATCTAATGTACTATACCAGTCCGTATCAACTGCTGTATGTATTGGTGAAATATGTTCCATATAATGTTCGCGTGCTTACGTTTTTAAGATGGTTGATTCAATACAAAGTAAGATATTATTATTACGTTCAGTTTTATTATCATTTTTATGTTTAATTAATTTTGTACTTATATCTTGCTCTTAATTTTAGTTACTGATGAAGGGCTGTAAAATGTAAGTCAGTCCAAAATGCCTCTAGTTACGTATGTAATCAACCAAAATAAACATAATTAAACTGTAGTTTTGGATCATTGAATTACTGTAGCATTCTTATACACCTGCAGATGCAAGATTACAAAGTTCCCAAGAATTTTCTAATTAAAAAAAGAAGCTGTTTAATGAATTTATAATTCTACGTTAAAATCAACAGAAAACTCAGACTACTTTTAAATACAAATGACCCACATGTTATCCACACAAAATTATGGTATTTATAATGTTTTATAATGTTTATGGTACATAAACACACTATGTTTTCTCAATTCTAATTTAATGCCCACTTTTTTTGGACTTTTCTTGATTCCAAAATTGGAGTTCACATTAGAAACAAGTGTACAAAAAGTTGACTTAATGCAGTTTCATTCATTTCATTTACTTCTCACTCTGCCCAGCAATTTGCAAATATTACATCATTGGTATAGACATGGCACACATTACAATTTGATGGTCTTTTTGAACTACAGTAAGAAAAGTGAACAATTTCCAACTGTGAATTTCCTATGAAGCTAAGTTTAAGTACAGAGTTATTAGCTATGTTGAAGAACATGTAGATGGATATTTTAGTATGATACTATGTATATGAAAAATTTCATGCTGTTGCATATTAACATGAAAGTTCTTAAAACTTTCTAGGTAATTTTGATTGTGATTTTGCATTAGTTGGCAGATCCTCTGTACTTGATAATGGAGTCATAAATGAATATATTCAGAAATGTAAACATCATGAAGCACTGTAAACATGACAATAAACATTTTTCAAAAATGCATTCATTGTTGTTTAAATATATTAACTTCACATAGCTGTATGAAGTTAATATATTTAACTTCACACAGCTATTAACTTCATGTGCACATTACGTTTACAAGTTAACTTTTTTTGATTTTATTGTCTCCAAAATCAAGTGTGTATCAGATTTGCTAGCGCATTAGAATTGATAAAACATGTTATATTAAATTTTGTAGTAGAGTAAAGAAGTTTAATTTATGAAGCTAAATGAAGTATAATGAATTTTATTCAGATGAATATCATTTAAATTATAGCAAATTTTTATACTTTACAAAATCCATCAAGACAATTTAAATTTTAAAAATAGTAAAATACACACAAGTATCAGTTTAAAACAAATAAAATAAAATAAACATGGAATTATAAACAACAGAAATATAAAATCAAACACAAAGCTAAACATGCCTGATAATATTAAAAAGATAAAATATAATCTATTTATAAATTTCTAATTGATTTTATAAAACTTTTTTAAACCTTATTTGCAGTATCTTGAGAAAAGCAATGTATTTAAACAACATATGTCAATCAAAATTAAAACAATTTTTTAAATATGAAGTGAACACAAATATTCATAAGAAAAACCAAAAATATTTGAGTTCATTTAAAATGATCAGAGGATAGAATAAATGATAAAAGTTTATCAAATAATATTGGAATTTTAATTAGGATATTCTAAAGAAAATTTGTTCTCTCTTTCATATAGGAACATATAAAACAAGGAGAAATAAAAAATATTATATTATTATATATTAAAACAAGGTATTAAAAAAATTTAATATGTAACTTACTAAATAAAATCTTAAACAACATACCTTAGTTTTAAATTCATCAATTTTATATTTTTCTGCAATAATATCCTTGAATTCCACATAAACTTCTTTTAATAATTTTGATTCCTCTTGTTCATAAGTTTCAGACGTATCATCAATACACTGAAATTTAAAACAATGCTATTCTGATATTAAATTTTAAAATATATACAGTCAACTTGTCTTAAAATGAACACCGATAAAGCAAATTTTGCTGTTGCTCTGGCAAAATGCTATTGTCATATCATTAATTTTCACATGATAAAGCCAACAAAAATTTCATCAGAATTTGTTAAACTGTTCACAACCCCAGGAAATAACCCCATTTCCAATAATGATTACTTTTAACCAACTAACATTTTCACTTTTTAAAAACAAATTTTTAAAAAGTGAAAATGTTAGTTGGTTTCACTTTTCACTTTTTAAAAATTTGTTTTTAAAAAGTGAAAATGATAATTTATTTGAAAAAATGTTAAATTAAAATAAAAACAGTTAAACAGATTAGTAAACATATTCTACAATTTAATCAATTTTTAAAAACATTTTGCTCATTTATATAATCTTACATGTTGTATGCACAATCTATTAAATGGGTACCTGGATATAAAAACAGTTACCCAATGTTCAGCATTATCCATGCAGCATACAATAGAATCATATGTAGAAGTGGTGGAAGTAGTTTAAGAAGCATGCAAATCAAATGCCAATGATCTGCATCTCAGATGAACAAAAAAGAATGTAGTATTTTTAATTATTTTTGGTATCTCATTATTAGTGCATTATGAATTCACTTCAGAAACCAAATTAAGGAGAGCTACATTAGTACTCACAACTTTCTTCAACTTTCTTTCTTCAAGAACTGGTAAGATGTAAAAAGATAGCCTTTATACAGCAAATTTTAATTTCATTAATGTAAATAGAAATAACTGTCTTTTTTGGTGTGTTTTCAAATAATATAGAAAAAATATATAAATCAATGATACATTAGCAAGCAATTTTAATGAAATTACTTCATCTTGTTCAGATAAAAAAGTTCTTTTTTTCAAATTCATTCCTTTTTGTAAAGAAAATGTGGTTTAAGTTTACCAAAAAATACTTTAAATATATATTTAATTGATATATTTTTTTGTAAGATTACATTAATTTTGAAAAATGAATATCCAAAAGCCAATTCTTTGCAAATAAAATTAGTCATGTGAAAACAGCATTACTATAGCAAACAAAGAACTGAATTTTCTATAATGATAAATTTTTCTACATATAAAGTTTGTTCTTTGTAAATGAATGTCTAGTAGAATATTTTAATCCTTTTCTTCCTCAATCTCTACTTTTTTCAACCTGACTCCCTGTAAATTTTTGTGTATTTTCAAAGTCAAAAGAAATAATAAATTTCATCAATTCTGTTCAGCAGACATTAAAACTACTCTGGCTAATTATATCAAAAGTCAGAAAAAAATTAATTTCAGAAGTGCTTTAATAAATAATGCACAAAAATCAGCAAAATTTGTATTGTTAGAGTTGAATATTTTGGACTGTGACAGAGACTGATGTTATGTAAAAGAAGGTTTGATATGTATAAATAACTTACAAGTTATTTATCAATCAAGTTTGCTTTCTTTTTTGGGGGGTAATTTTGTCTCAAAAAATTAATTTTATTAATAAATTGTAAATTAGAATATTGTGGTGTTTTCCAGAAATAAACATATTAAGTGAATATCTTAAAATATAATCTTTTTATTTTTTCATTTCAGAACAAACTTTTATAGTACTTACATTAAAACGTGGTAGTATAAATATTTTCCTTTGAATGTTTTCCACTGTGACACAACAACTAACAAATGAATCTGCTTTCTCATACCAAATTTTTCCAAAAAGATATACTTTACCTATAAAAAATGTTTTCATATTTATTTGACTTTTTTGAAACTAACCAATATTAAACTTTAAATACAAATTTATTTTGAAATTATCTTAATTATGAAATTTGTTTATAAATTACATTTTTTAAGGCATTTATATAAGCAGATTTCTCTTTGGCTAAACATAATTGAATAAACTATTTTCATTTAGTAATTGAAACAAGTTACATTTCAGACATATATAAGATTGAAATAAAAGTGTTCAATAAATTCTTGAATGAACAAAATTCAATAAAAATAATAATAAAACTATTTATCAATTTTTACTTACCAAATTTATTGTTAAAACACAATAAATTATTTACATTATCCACTAAATAATGCTTTTCATAATTATAGTTTCATAAATTGTTATTTTAAAATTATTTTTTTTATAAAATTTAGCATATTTATAAATATTTCACTAATTTATTAAAAAATATGGTAATTATAAATTATTTTTTTAATTTAATGTAATAAAAAGAAAGTGAGAATGAAGAGAGATAATTAAATATCGCACTGTTTTTATAATAATTAGAACAAATTTAAAAAGAACTTATTTTTTGTACTTGGGAGTACAGAAAATAAGTAAATCTTACAAAAAATATCTATTTTTATAAGATTTCTTTTAACCTATACAATTTTAATATGAAAATACAGTCAAGTCCACATAAGTCGACACCCCAAGGGGAAGTGGATATGTGTCGAGTTATCGATATGACGATTAAAACAAAGTTAAAAAAAACCACAAAACTACAATTAGGAAAATACAGTAGTGCTTTATACAGTACATGCAATGTATCTCTCTGACCACCCGTCCCTGGCACTAAAATTGCTTTCTACTCCAAGTACCTCAGTGATTTCCATCACTTTTTGTTTCAGTATTGGCCCTGAACAGGAAGATTCAACAAACAAATTTGCTTTAGCCAACGTACCAGAGCATCTTCGACATTTCTGTACTGTGACTTTCTCTAGTATTTTCAAGACAGTTGCGACAAAGACCCAAGAAAAAGTTTCTTAATTACCCCTTTTTTCTTCAGAATTCTCACCAATGTTGTTCTTGAAAAGTTTTCTTGTTTTGCAAACTCGGCTTGCAAAGTTTTATTACATTCAAATTCAGATACAAGTTCATATTTTTCCTTCAGCGTAAGCATTGTTAGGATTCCAATACTCATTTCTAACAGAAATGTGAAACACTTGCTGCAAATAACACATGAATAAAAGATGAGAAAATGGAAAATCAGATTCCGGTGTAAACTCATTTTTTTCAGGAGGGGAGTCAACTTATCAGATGTATAAATGAGTGTGGGACAGAAAAAGTATGGCAATTTATCCAGTGGAACCTTGCTTAACGAGCTCTTCTCATAATTCACATAACAAGCAAAACAAATTGTAAAAAAAAAAATGACTCGCTTAACAAGTGACAAGGAGAGGGAAAGTTTCAGATTGTCACATGCTACATCAGTCTGTGTTTAGCAGTCGTTCTGCTAGCATCTTAGTGTTGCTTGTGATCACACATTTTTCCAAACTTGTGTTCAGACATATTACATATAAACATCAACAATCATAGCCCATTATACAGAGTGTTTCAAAAAGAATCATCTGATTTAAAATGATTATATTATGAAAACTAATGAAGACACACACTTAAGAGTATTTATATTACAGGGCTAATATGACTCCCCCTTTCGATGCATGGCATGTGTCTCTCTCAAGCTGTATAATTTGATATGGCTTGCTCTGTTCCCCATATTCTAACATTATGGTGGTTTATCTTCCCACTTAAATGAAAAGTAGCCTTGTCAGAAAACACTAAGTATCTTACAAAATTGTAATCTTCTGCCTCCTTGTTGAGGATAAATTCACAAAAGTCAACACAACTGTGTTTGTCATCTGCTTGAAGAGCTTGCATTAACTGAATCCTGTACAGTTTCATAATCAAACGTCACCGCAAAACATGCCAGACAGACGTTGTGGCATGGAAAAGTTTAGTTCTCTATTGGTATGGACCTACACTTTGCAAAGTGTAGAACACAAAATGATTTCTGTTGTCCAGTCACCATCTTGAAAATATGAAAGGGAAAGGTGAACAAAGTGCACAGGTGCTGCCAATCTGCAACTGTGTAAAACTCAAGAATTTCCTCTTTCTAACAGTATATTATTTAATCAAAATGAATTAAAAAGCTGAATAATTATGATTTTTTTTAAATTGGATGATTCTTTTTGAAACATCATGTATAATAAACATGCCAAACGATAAGCCAAATTGTAAAAACTGTAATTAAATATTAAAAATTTTATATTTATAGGCAGTTAGCTTCCATAGGCAGTTATGCTTCCATCTTATATTAAATGTAATACAGTAGAGTCCCGAAAACTCGGCACTCGATAACCCGGCAGTCCAGATAACTCGGCCACACACTGGCAGGACAAAAAAACCCCTAGTTCATTTTCATTATAGACAGATTTATGATTCATAAAGTATTTTTCTGAGGTCTGTCTTATCCAGTAAATTACTGTACACTGTGTATTCATTAATTTTCATTTTCATGTAGTAATGGCTCTATGCCTTCATAAAGTAGATATTTTTCCTTTGTTTAAGGGTATTTGGGCAGTTTATTCTTTGTTGTATTCTCAAACAAACAATACATACAAGTACAGTACAGTATTTTCTGAGGACTCCACACTCGTACTTATTTTTTTACCCCATTCCTGATAACTCGGCATTTTCACAAACTCGGCCACCCTTCGGTCCACATTAGGCACAGTTTTCGGGACTCTACTGTAATTATAAATAATTAATTTTTGTTTAGACATTTCTAAAATTTAATTTGGAATTGGTTATTAACCTGTCCTACATTGATCCCGAAATATTTGTGTTGACCTCATTGACCTATGTGAGCGATCCCGAATATTTCCATGTTTACATCAGAACATTTTTCATACTAGATGTCGCTTTGTGTCACAATTTTTATATTAAAATAAACTTTTAAAATAAAATTTTTTTCATTTTTATATTATTCAATATATATATTTTGTTTGTGAAACATAAAAAAATGATTTTTTACGATACAGTAAACGTGATTATTATTTAAAAAAAAAAATTTTTGGACGAAAATTCAACATGGTGTCACAGGCAACAAATAAAAATTTCAACATTGAATAGGTTAAATTTAATACAAGATGGAAGCATAAATACCTACCGCTAGTCAAATTAATTAATTTTTAATATTTAATTATAGTCTTTACATAACCCAAAAATTTGGTATATTATTTGGCTGTTTTTGAGACATTTTTCTGATTTTTTTGTTTTCTGCAAATCAAATTTGCATTCCAGGTTGGTTCATTCCACTCTAGAGGAAATGATGATGATTCATGCTCCTTAACAATGTATATTGTATAATTTTTTTTGAATAAACATTATACATAAAATATTTGAGTATTTTTTTGGCATGGAACACATTATCGTACTTTACATTAATTTATTAATGATTGTTTCATATTACGAGTAATATTCTGAAATTAATTATGCTCCTTAAGCAAGGTTCCACTGTATTTTGTAAATAGTTTTAGGTAATTGTAAAATTTTCCCCAAGACAAGATCAATTCCTAATGGCATGAATATTGATATCAGATTGTTAATGATTGAAACTAACGATTTAGTAATTAATTTAACAATTAATTAATTTTCAATGTTATCTTATTATATTCTATTGTTTTAGAGGTATATTATAAAACTAATTTTTGTAAGCAAACTTTCTTTTAGTTTAACAAATTAACAGTTTGCAAAAATAAAGTTAATAATTATTATATAATAAACAAAAACAAATAAAAAAATAATAATAATATATACAAACAAATAAATAAATAAATAAATAAATAAATACAAAGCATGTAAAGAAATATACAAGAGAAATTCACAAATGTATAAATTCATAAAAAAAAATTTTTTCTCTTTAATTTCAGTTTATAATGAGACTATTAGTCAATAATATACAAATCATCATCTTAATTGAGTAAAACTTATTAAATTTAGATGATTTTTCAACTATTTGATAATTACAACAGTTACAATATAAGAACAGTTTGTTATAAAACATTTTGAGGTAAATACACTTCTAAACAAATACATCTGAATATGGAAAAATAATATTTAGTGACAATTAAATAAAATAAAAATTTTAGTTGGCATACAAATCATTTAAAATGATTTGTGAACCTGTGATTATAAAAATGATCTGTCATATATTTTTCATTTGGAAATATTTCATCTTCTGAATTTGTAAAAAATTTTTAAAATATTTTATTATCATAAAACACGAGTTTATTTACTCTGCTAAGTATTTTTAATGTAATTGTACAATTTTACAAATAATTTTTAAAATAAATTTTAATTGTTGCATATTTAATTGTTAATATTTATTACATACCTGGATGCTTAAAGTAATCTTCATATGCATCAATCCAAAAGAATTTTAGAATTTTTTCATTATTTGTATTGAATGTTAAAGGAAGATTTGAAGAATCTACAACAACTTCAGGTAATGAAACACATTCTGTTGTTGTCAGTCCTAGTAATTGGCTTCTTTTGCTAAATTTCAAAAATAAATTTAATTTCATGATTAAAATTTCACTTTTTCTTTATTTTACTAAACTTTTTTCATAATATTTATATACTTTGACAAAAATTTAAATTAATCCAATGAATGTATGCATTTGAGTTCAGCTTATATATCAGAATATATGGTATTTAAACTTGTATATTTTTAATATATTTATAATAATTTTAAAAATATAAAGATTATTACAATCTTTTAAACTGTTTCAGTTTTCTTTACTTGAATATGGTGACTTAAATATTCAAGGTTCAATGTCAAAATATTAAGTGCTTTTAAAAAAAATATAGTTATGATATATTTAGCAATATTACATCTGTAAAGGCAGTCTTCAATTTTTGAATGTAATGCATTCCTGAAAAGTGCACAAAAATTGAATAATAGGACTGCATGCTAAAAGAAATTCCATAAAACAGAGCTGAACAGAAAAATTATAAAATCTAAGAAAGTTTTAATTTTTTACTGCAAATAATGCATAATATGTAACAACACATAAAACATTATTTAAAATGTTAAAATTATACATTAAACATAAACAATAAAAATTAAATTTCATAAATGAGCTAGATGTTTGCTAAAAATTATTAACACATTAATGAAACCAAAATCGATAGGAGTAAATAGAGAGGTTGCGACTGATGTTTTCATTGCAAAAATGTGATCATCAAATGTTCAGCACCACCACCCTGTAAGCCTAGAAGTTTGACAATGGTATTTGGAACATCAAGCATAATTCCACTGACATTCCAAAAGCCATTGTCAAACTTTTAGGCTTACAGGATGGCAGCACTGAACATCAGATATTCATGTTTTAGTGATGAAAACATCAGCCACAATCTCTCTATTACATAATGGTTCAAAACTTTTGTTTTCAGCAGAGAATATACAAATGAAAATTTGGCATACAAAGAGCAATTTAGAAATATTAAAGTATTATATATATGAAAAAGCAAATTGTCTAAAAGTCAAAGACTGTGGCTGTACATGATTCAGACATTAATAATATTTAAAAACTTGCCTGTTTTTTATTTCTGTACTTTCTTCTGGAAAAGAACACATTTTATCATCAGGTTTTGTATCTGTATTTACAGTTGTTTCTTCAAAATCCATTTTATCTTGATTTTCATTTTTATATTCTAAATATTATAAATGGTATTAATATAATCTATTTTAACTTTAAAAACCAACATTATAATCAAATTTGACATACATGTATCCCTCATACAACATGGTACTTCTACAAAAAAATTTTGCTCTAACATGACTGGAAAATTAGAGATATTCCATGGTTTCCAGTTTTGCTCTAACACAGTTTGAAAATTTGGAAAATCTCCTTACAAAATTTCACAATTTTTAGGAACAAACTCCATTCATTATTCAATATTTTTTTCTTCAAGTAAGCATATGAGTCACTTTAATTTGCCAAAAGATATATTGAAATTTTCAATTTGTTTTGTGCCTTTTATCAGGTTTACTTTGATAATGCAATTTTTTCTTTCTTGTCCTAGCTTACCTATCAACCAGGTGTTGTTGTTGCTTGCAGACTTTAGCCTTTAAGACTGTCACTGTGTTTTATTTTTATAGATTAATCTTTGTATTTAATAAACTTTATTTAAACATGTTTAGGTAAGTGTTATTAAACTTTTTTTAATTGTGGGTAAGCAATCATTTGTAAAAACAATGAACAAAATACACAGATATCACTGTACTCAAACTGTTCCCAACTCGAACAATTCAGTATTTAAACACAAATTCTGGAGAATAAATTGTTCAGTACTCAATTGAACAAATGAAACCCACTAAAACAAATTTTTGATTAATAACATATTTTTATTTTCTCATACATAAAAACTTTTATGGAAAAAATAAAAAAAATGAAGATGTTGCTGATATGTCTGACCAAGATCAAGAAAAAAGCTCAGAAGATACCCTTACTTAACTAAAATACTAAAGTGTAATACAGTACTTTTAATTTGTTACTGTTAGTTAATTATTGATTGCTTTAATAAAACATATATAGGTATACCTCGAGTTACGTAGTTCTCAATTACAGGTTGTTTGTCAAAAAAAATATATGGAAAAATAAAAATCAAGTTTAAATCATTTTATTTGACTTTGTCTGTCTGCCACAAATATTGAAATCGTAATATCACTAGAAAAGTGTTAAAAGCACATAAAATCATATTAAAATGCATACATTTACAGTAAATGTTAATATAATCATCATAAATCATAGAGAACAAAATATGAAAACATCTGTGACTCTGTGTTTTCATCTTATTTAGAGATCTTTAAGAGCTCAATATTGGCATTTTCCACAGTAGTTCCAATATCTACCATTTGGCGTCATTGTCAGTGCCACTCGTTATTGGTAAATTTAACGTAAATTAGTTTATTTTTTACTATTGCAAAATAATTTTAATACCTGTATTTGTTATTTAATCTTACAAAATCATCTTATTTTATAATGTCTTAAAGCAAATCACATTCACAAATAAAAGAGTCCACGATGTACTGTACTGTACTGTAAACATAGCCAAATTGTAAACATGTATATTTACAAGTATGTACAGATGTACTGTACGCATATTCGTAAATTTGGATTACTTTTTTCCTGTACTATATTAAAATTTATTTGTTCGTAAGCTTAAAATAGATTCTTATTAATCATATATTATTAAAAATACATTTATAAATAAAATACAGAACCGGGTATAGCATAGTGACAAGTAAATTCGACTTACATTGTTTTTTGACTTAAGTCGCCTCTCCTGGAACCAATTACTGATGTAAGGCGAGGTATACTTGTATATCTTATTAACAAAAAAGAACAGTATACTTTTGTTAACTTTTAGAACCTAACCCTATGTTTTGCATTAGTTCTTTATCTTGTATAGCACAGATTTGCATAACACCACTTTTTTGGAACATAACTACCATGTTATAGAAGGAATACCTGTATTTGAAATATAAACATCACCTCAAATCTAAGTTAAATAATAATGTCTACTTTATGTAATTTTTAAAAATATGTAGGAATGAAATAATTTTTTTAAATATTAAATAACAATTCATTAAAATGTTAAAATAATAAATTATAACTTTATACCAATATTATATTATACATTATAAATTGTTTTTAATGCTATCGTAACTCATCATTGCACTTAAACCAGTATGATCTCTGATGATGGGACAAGTGATCCACAGGTAATTTAAATTAATAAAAATTAAAATTTTGTTCAATGATGATTCACTTTTAATAGTTTACTTCCAATTTAATTAATTATATTTCCATATGTATTCAAAGCATGCTTTTAGATTTATTATGTTATGAATGGCACAGTATGTCCCAAATGTTGACAATGGGAATACCTACAAAGATTTTAAAAAATCAGGCTTACATAACATAGTGATCCATAGAATTTTTTCAGACATTTTACTGGTCTTTAAGCTTAAAAAATTAGTGTTTCTCAACTTTAAAAAGATTGAGAAACATGAACTTAAAACTATGAAACAAAATACAATAAATTCTCGTTTCATATTAGATTGAAACAAGAACATAACATAAATTCTTGTTTTCACAGAGATGGAAAATGGTTAAGTTAACCCTAAGATGCACAAAAAGTAATTCTGACAATTAATATTCTGATCTAATGCCATTAATGAAACTGATACTGAAGTCAGCAAACCATGCTTCTCCTGCTTCTGATATTGCAAACACAGAAAACTACACTAAATGCTTCTCACTGTGATGAATATATCAATTTGTATGTACAAGGTATTTTTGTATAATAATGTTTTCAATACTGCATAATACAATTCTGTTCTGTGTATTCAGAAACATTAGACTAAAATGCTATTCACTGTAGTAAACACATTTCATATTTTTCTATTAATTGTAAATAGCTACATATCATCTGTAATCATCTGGATCTTTTTGGAATGAAGTACAAATTTATACTGACCTGCTGACATACAACCCCTACCTAAAACAAGACTATATTCTAATTTTAATCATCTTTAATCATCTAAATTACTTTTACAAATAATTAACAATGAGCAAAATCCTGCTAAAAATAACTGAAGAAAAAATGAAAAATATTGATTTTTAATAAAAACCATGCAAACTTTTTCTATTTTATCATGATTTTTTGTAAAGACTGTGTGAGTTTCTACTAATTTGTCTGAAGTGTAAACTTTTAAGTTCTTTACATTGCAGAAACATAATCCTAAGTTACCAAATTTTATCAATCTTTGAATTTGGACATGTTCAATTTGTAATGAAAAATGTCATCAACTACAGATATTATTATTCAATGAGTTTTGTACATGCTGTATTCTAGACATAACTTTAATGGTTTAAATACACTTAGAAAATCAATTACTTCCAATGATTTAGCCTGGATTAAAGTATAGTGAAAAATGTAATATACTGTACCTCAAATAAAATCTCAGTACTTACTCCAGTACATGATTTAATAAATATAAATATTTTCAGCTTTATTTAAGAATCTTTCAGGCAGTACAGTTGTTCCATCAAACACAACAAAATTTGTAAAATAAAAAAAGGTCTTAAAGTATTCTACAAGAATATTCCATTCACATAGTGATATAATTTAAAAGGAATGTTTCCATATGGGTCAGGATGCATATTCAAAATTATCACAAGAGATCAAAACAAATATTAAATTAACATAAAAATGACATAATTTTCATCCTTAAGCCTTAAAACCATGTCTTTGGTAATTTAAAGCTATCTCTATTAATGCAAGTTCCCAAAAGGGTAGCTCTATAAATCTCTATCACTTCAACCATCCAAAACATATGTTGGTCAAGGATCTTTCATATGAGTTTAGCACTGGCCCAACATGGGAACACCCTGGGCTCTGAAGCAAACTGGGCCAGCACAGTGACACATTTATTTTTGGAGATGCCATACTTATGATCATTAAACTTAGCCCTGAGGCTTAGATTAATGATCATAAGCCCTGAGCCTTATATGTGAAGTCAATACAGATGAGACTCCTGTTTAAAGGGATTTGATACATACCCAGAGCACAGGTGTCATCCACAGCATATTAAATCAGTGCTGGAGTAAGTATTGAGGTTTTATTTGAGGTAATGACTTGTTTCAGCTTTGGGAGTTTGTACAGGCAATACATTGTGTTAAGATTTATTAAGTGATAAAAAAAAAATAATTTTTTTGCTCATTACTAAGTCTTTGGAAAGAAATGATCAATTTTACCAGATGACAATGACAAAAACTAAAACAACACGATTCTTCTAAAAAAAATTTGAATTCAAACATGGCTGTCATTAAAACAATACTTCAGTAATAAAAAACAGTTCATGTAGAGCAGGTGACATACAAACATAGAATATCATATTATTAGATTTAAACTGTCATACTTATTCTTCTTAATTTATGATCTTTATATTAATTTCTATTACCAGAAAATTAATATTTACCTTCATGCATATCATATTCTTCTAGATTTGTAATGTCATCTAAATCAAATAAATCATCATCTAAAATTTCTTTATCGTCTTCTTCAGCTATTACTTTTCTGTAATTTTTAATGTCATCATTATTGCACTTTTTTATCTGTTTACTATTATTTGTATCATCAAAATCTATTCTTTGATGATTTGCTGATTTCTGAATTCCATTCTGTAAGGATGAACTCATGTTAGGTAATGTATTATTTTGGATGTAATTTGAAGTTTCTTTGACTCCAACACTGTCCATTATTTTCTTTTTCACAAATGGATTATAAGGACTTCTGAAAGTAATTAAATTAAATTTAAACTGAAATTAGAAATTAATAAATATCTATAAAACATAGTTTTAAATTATCTATACATTTAAGAATTCTAATCATACAAGATTATTCCCCATTTAATACATTTAACAAAATATTGTATCTTGATACAGAAACTAATTCTTATCAATGTATTATATTGAAATACTGTGGTATGTTCTTTACTTTTTAATTAAACAATATATTATTGACACAATATAATTTTATATGGACTATATATTACTAAAGAAATATTATCATTAAGCACATCAGAAATTATACAAATAAAAAAAAAATAGTTTTTAGGCATTACCCATTCAAATAAATTAAAATTACTCTATTAACTATTAAAGGATTCAAAGTATAGTTTTTTTTAATAATTTTAAGTGATAAACACATTGCAGTTTATTTAATATTTGTATACTAGTTCTAATCTTGTATTATTCATTTACAAACTTTGAAATTGGCAATTATGATTTCTAAAAGAACTTTTAAAAGTTTATTTACTTTTTATACATCTGAAAAAGCTATTTATCATTTTTATATTATCTCAGAAATTATAAAATTAGGTACTGTAAATTACAATAAAGAACTTGTTTTTAATTTTACTCCACTTAAAAATTTTTTTTACTATAATAATTTTACTTACTTAGTAATTTTCATTTCAGAACACTCAATTTTTCTTTTTAAAACTGTTGGTTTAAATATATCTTCTGATTCTTTTTTATTATGTACTTGCTGTATGATATCTCCAAGTAATTCATCATCATCCAATTTTACATTTGACTAAAAACATAATTTTAAAAAATATACAAAATTTCTTTTTGTACTATATACAAAAATAAATTTTGTATAAAAAAAAGTAGTTGTAGCAATTCTGTTTGTTATATAACAAACAGAATTGCTACAACTATTTTTTTTTATCAAACAGACAAAATTACACAATTATTATTAAATAAAAATAAACTAATAATGATTTGAAATAAATTTTAAAGAATTAAATATATTTATTGATTAGGGTTGCCAGGTATTTGGATATAAAATCTAGACAAAATGAGTTTTTTCCAAAAGATATGGGACACTTCAAGTCCAGAACATGCAGGATATGTATTTTTACTCTGTCAGGAACAGAAATAGTTAAAATGTGAAAAAATACTTCATTGTGGGAACAATTTTTAGAATAAAGTCCTCCTCTTACTAGATGGCAGTCAAAAAGAATCCAAGATAATTCCAGAAAACTGTGATATCTGGCAACCCTATTATTGATAAATACGGCTCAAAAAATCAAAGGAATATTTTTTTATTAAGTTTTCTTGGAATAAGAGCATACTAATATTTATTTTCACATTAAATTCAAAAGCTTATTTGTATTTCAGTATTTTTCATTTTGTTTTAATATGTTTAAATATAGAACATAGTCTAAAGCATTAGTGATTATGTTCAGAATTTTTTATTATTGTTTCAAATCAGATATTAATAACAGAGATTTCAAAATATCAAAGATTCAAAAAATTTACTGGAAACACTTTGTATCTGTTCTAATATTGTCATAATCATTTCAAAAATTATTATATTTATATTGAAAAATGATAATAAAATTCTAAAAATTCAATCATAGAATTAATAAGATAATAATTCTTTTTAACAGACTTAGTAAAATTGTTGTGTTATTGAAAAAATATATATTAAAATATCAATCATCGTTGTTCTATATTTGTATAAAACATTTTACAAGCATATGTTGTAAATATGATATATTAGGTAATTGCTGTAAAGCAAATATTGCCTAAGTGAAACACAAATTGTTTTTCATTTGCCATTATATATAAAAACCTAAAAATCTATTTAACTATCATTTATTAAGCACATAAGTGTTTAAAATGAGGCACACTTGTAGAGTGTGTATTTACTGTTTATCTGACATCAGATCAACGAGATAAAAGATATCGATATCAAACAATCAACTGTTTTTCTAATAGGAAAAAAAAATATTTTCTCTTGAAATTCCACATTTATGCATGTATAGGCCACATTTTTTTACCCTAAATTTTTTGTCCAACATTAGGGTGCAGCCTGTACTTGAGATAATGAATAATTTTAAAACAATTTATTATCATTAATTGTCTTTACATACCTTAGGACTTGTAGTGAGATTATTTGGAAGTTTTAGGTCACCAGGGTTGAGATATAAGAAGAAAAAGGCACAAAGGAACAGCAAAAAAAGAAGAAAACGGAGCTGTCTGAGAACCAACTAAGCAATAAACACTAAAAGACTATAAAAATTATAATCAATGTCTTCAATTGAAACTGACAGCTACTATTTATGTTCTTCACTCGAAACTTCACTGTCACTACCAGCATCACTTGAGTCTTCATTCTCAGATAATGCAAGATACATTGGGTCAGCTTATGACCCATCTATCACATTGGAAATGAATGTGACTTTGAAAATTTTGGACACAATTTCTTCTGGTATTAGTTTCCGTGAAGCCACAATCCACTTACACATCTGAGACAGGGAGGGTTTTTCTCAGCCTCCCAGTCGACATTGTCTCCCTGGCAGTGCACCTCCAATCATAGTAGAAACATCACAGATGAGCTTTAAAAAGACATTTGTTGGATACAGTAAGTGGTTGCAGCATTTCAGTCATCCTCCTGGTATCACAACCATATCACTTTTCTCTTCCCTCATCTTCTTTTTCATACTTTTGGTCAGATGACTTCAGAACCTGTCAACAACCAACATGGACTGCCAACATAACAGTACAACTGGATGCCAAAACCACTGACTTCAGCCAATTCATGTAGAATTCCCCTGTCATCCAATATTCCAGGTAGTAGTTTTTCTTTCAGCAGGGTCTTACACTTAAAAATTTTGATTCGTTTTTTGAAACTAAGTTTTCGTATTTATTTACTATTGAACACAAGACTGTGTTATTATTAAAACACTTGGCGTTTATCCACTTTATTCACTTAAAAATTTACTTAAGGTCGCAACTTGTTTCTGTCAGCAGTAAGGCACAGCATTACAGTACAGCACTGCTTTTCTGTTCCCATTGTTTGCATCAGAACTTTTTTTCACCTGCCTGATTAATTTTAGTGTCACTTGGCATATCAAAGAAGACAAGAGTTTCATCAGCATTACCTATTTCTTTTAAGTTGTAGCCATGTGTCTTTCTTAAGCTGAGGACATGTTTCTGAAATATGAGCAGTTTCTCTTTGTAGGGGTCAGGAAGCAGCTGCACCATTGAAGTTCAATGCTGAATCACAAGTTCATGTTGTGCCATAAAATGTAACTTTCTTGAAATTTACTTTCAGGAATTTTCATATTTTGAGCAATCCTTCAAGCATCAAACTCAATCATTTCAACAATTACAGAAAATCCATTTACCCAAATTTCACAGATCTATCTCAACAGATTTGCTTCCAGGTCACGATATTTCACTGTCTTTCTGCAAAACAATTGCCAATTTTGTGATGTTTTCTCAAGAGCATCCTTTGTTTGAATCCACTGCAGCATGTATTTTTTGTCTACATCAAACGTCCTTCCTGCTTTTTCTTGTGCATAATGAACCACTTTCAACTTTATACTTTGCCATGTAACTCACTCTCATTCAACTCACATTTGACATGCACTAAGCAAGCACTCGACAATAAGCATTAACCATCCCTTCCTTCATTCATGTTTGAAATTTTCAGTGTTGCCAAATTTCTGAATACCCATGTCTAATCTTGTCCCTTGGTGGAATTCTACAATTTTTTTTTTTTTTTTCAAATATATTGTTTCATAAATGGGGTGTGGCTTATATATGCATAAATATGACAATCAAAATTTTGATATTTGTGCATTTGGTGCAATATAAGATTTGAACTCATTTTATTAGTTTTATAGTAATTATTCACATTAAAATTTTATTATAAAATAATATAACCTATTAACATATCATAATTTATATTATTTTATGCAGATTTAGCTATTTTAACCAGTTCTATTTATAAGATCAGACCAGTTTTTTCATCCTAATTTAGTTTGAAAATTTTAAATTGAAATAAACTTCTAAAAACAAAAATATGTAATATATTTGTAAATTCAATAACAAGCCTTCAAGTGAGTATTAAAAAATTTTTAAAATATATATTTTTATCATTTAAAATTACCTCAGATTTTCTTTTTGCAGGTAAAGCCATGAACATGCTTTTTATATCTTTTGGTTTATTTGAAGAAATAGACTTTTTAGTAGGTGGAGGCTTATATTTTCTTGATTCCTTTTTAATCTTAACATCTATTATAAAGACATTATTTGAAATCAACAATATGTAATATTTAAAGTATAAAAAATACATAATAGAAATGAGATAACTTATTAATGAATGGCTAAATATAAAGAAATAAATATACATTTAACATTATTAATAAAACAATATATATACATCATGTTCTCACTTAACATCACCAATAGGTTCTTGGAAATTGCAACATTAAGCAAAATCACTGTACAGTCGACTCCCCTATAACACGGTAGATACGTTCCACTTTATAAGAATTTCATGTTGTAGGAATCCTTAAATACATGAGCCAATCACAGCCCGGCACATGTGCAATTTACAGACTAAGGCTGTTTGAAAAATTTTCTTTCATAAAATTAATTGATTCTAGACTAATTTGACTCAACATTTCCAAAACACGTATAATTTTTTGGGAATAATCCATATAAACTATGCTATAAACAAAAAATTGTAGGATTACTTACCAAGTGTGCACTGTTCGATGATGCCATTGCTTAAGCTTGTTTTTGTCGCGGAGCAGCGCACCAAACAGCAGGTGCATTTTCTGATAAGTTATTTTTCTGCGAAAAATTCGTTGAACTTTGGAGACATCATTAATAGAAGTAATTTTTATGGCCGTTGAATAAGAAATGTTTTTTTCACAAGAAATGTATAAAATTACAGTACTGTATTAGACTTACAGTACCTAATTTATATACTGTACAGACAATAGTAAACTTAACTTACCCGCCTAAACTCTCCGTAGCATGTAAGTAGTTCAGCTGCTTGTCCACTATTGGTTCAGATTCGACCAATCCTGTCGCGACATGAGTTGGCGATGATGTTTTACTGCATTTTATGAGTCTCTTTTAGCGTCTTTATATGAATAAGGTCGCAATTTTTTCGCAGCAATATATGAATTTGCATTATATGAACCCGCGTTATAAAGGGTCGACTGTATAATGAAACCAATTTCTTTATAGGCTAAATAAAATAACAAGATATAATTTGGGTTAATTAATTAATATCACTCTAATTGGGTTGTGTTTGCAATGTCCAGCATTTATTTCCTATTCATAAAATCAATTTTACTGTTTATGAAGAAAATTCAACAATAATTATACTGTAAATGATTACAAATTACTTATATCTTTCCTGGATGATTTTATAACAAAATAACACTAAACAAAATGACATTAAGTGAAGAATTGCTGTATATCAATTTAATATAGCATTTTGTTCTAGTTTTATCAATTTATATTAAACTAATTTTGTAAATTAAAATTTTTAATATAGAAAAATGAAATGATGAAAAATGTACGAAATATCATTACACAAACACAATATAGTAATTATGTGATATTTTCTTTGAAATTACAAAATTTTACTTTTCTGAAATAGTAAGGAGAGTCCTAAAACTGAAATTTGATTTGATAATTATGATCTATAATAAATCTTTGTAAAAGATTGTAAAACTTGACACCATTTCTGTAAATAAACAAATGTCTACTAATTTCAGAAAGCTAAACTTTTTATTAAATAAAATAAAATGTCTTTGGCCAAAATCTGACCATCCTCAGTTTAAAATTTTAGCTTTAACAGTTTAGAAAAGTATAATATAAAATATATAAATTAGAACAAGATTTTAATTCTAATTTATTTTCAAAATTAGCAGGGATTTATTTTGTTATTTATAATAATAAATTTTCTACAACTGTTTTATAAAGCATAAATTAAGAAAAAAATAGAAAAACTTTAAATAAGTCAGTGATATGTATTAATATTTGCAATTAATTCCTAAAAAATGTAATCTTACAGTAATTTTATGAATGAAAATAAATTTACTATTTTCAAAACAGAACATTCATTTTAAATGATTTAAGTAATAAATAATTTTGAAATTATTGAATATATTTATCATTTCAATATATTTAAAAATATTTTTAATGCATAAAAATCTCCGTGTACTAGTTTTCTTAATTATTTTAGTGTAATTAAAATTAATTTCATGTTGACAACAAAAAGAAAATAAACATCTATCTAATTTTACATCAAATTATAAAATAAATTATAACAGTCAATTATTTTCTCTTTACTGCCAATATCAACTTAGTTATTATCAAACTATATAATTTATAATATTGAGGACATATTGCAAATTAGGCAGCCTTAAAAAACAGTATCATACTGTATGTGAAAATCATCACAGACGATCAATTATGGTCAGCCATTGAAAATACCATACTTCAACTTCAGATTTTATGGGACCACATTTAGCAGTATTTCCTGCATCACTAATATCTTAGTATATATGAGTGTCTTGTACAAATAAAATGTTTGTTGTTTGCAGTTCTAAGTGTCAGTGATGGGTTTTGGTACTTTTTATGAAAATGTCTTCTACATGTTCTGATATATCACTATGCCAGATTTTATTGCATTTGGACTGATAAATATCTCTCTAGATAGTGTTATATACATAGACTGAGGTAGTTTTCTTTAATTTACTTTACATTTATTATGTTATTTTATGTTTGTTAAATAACATTCCAATATACAGTATTCCCAATGGCATATTTAATTTTTAAAACTTTATCTAAGAGTAACAAAAAATATTATTTAAAAAATAAAATTTTGTTTTAAGATCCAAGACTATAATTTGATAACTAGAATTAATATATTAATTTATGAAATTATTAAAAAATAATATGCAAGACATTATTTTTTAAAATTAAGTATATGTCAGTTTGTTATAGTTTTGATCAGTGATTAATTTATAAATATTCATTAAAAAATATATTATAAAATAATAAGAAAATTTAATTATACCTTCATGGCCATCTTCTAAATTATCATCAAAAATTTCTCGACCATCTTCAACATATCCACAACCATCTAAAAAATACATTTACATAACTTACTTAATGTAATTAAATATATCAAAAATAAATTAACTTCTTATGACACATCAGAATCTGGATTCTTCAAATATATTTAGAACCAGTCGTTGTCAGGACAGTTTGGACAAGTATCTACTTAAAAAAATTGGTTTGTATTTTACAATAACTGATGATTTTTTAAATAATTGATACAGGGTTCTGTTTAATGAAAGAATGTGTCTTTAGAATATAAATCAGAAATAGCCAAAGAATCACCAAAATTATAAGGCTATTTTTATGTGATAATTAACTAACATAATTTGGCAGTAGAACCATTATGAGCCATTTTGCCATAAATTTGGTAATTAAAAATTAAAAACTAATTTATTTACAGAAATCTAGAAGAAAAGATCTGGCCTGGACTGGAACTCAACTATGCAAACTAGGGAGATGGAATTACTGATTCTGCTAACTGGGCATTTCAAGCACGATGTTTGCCAATTTTTTCAACATGACTTAATTGATTTGTTCACTTTCTGCTATTTTTTCCTTCATCAAAATTCTCTAAAATTTCTAACTATCAAGAAACTCTGAAATGACAAAAGACAAGAGAATGAAGTTGTCCCATTCAATTCAGAATGTCTGATCATTAAACTTAATACCTCATTTCCATTATGCAAGGGAGAATGCCAACACAATCTACAAAAATTTGATGCAGAAAGTGTCAAAATGTTATCTAAAAATGAAACTGTAAAAATTTTGTTTCTCAAGGCAATGACACAATAAAATTGTATAAAATAATAGTAACAAAGATAAGCATGATATTTTTAACATGCTATTCATGGAAAGCATGTAATCTATTGTGCTGTCCACTTAAGAGATTTTGGAGTACAGAAAAGATAGGAAATTTTTTGTCCATTGTCTGCAGTAGGCAATATTCACTTAATAATAGTCCTATTACTATACCAAGACTGGATGTTATGTCTTCTAAGTACAGTTATATGCTAAACCCATTTTTCACTATGTAATATATATATTCACAGTTTATACATTCCAAGCAGAACAATCTAAAAACAGAAAACTTAATATTTTCAAATACACACTAAACAAAATGACATTAAGTGAAGAATTGCTGTATATCAATTTAATATAGCATTTTGTTCTAGTTTTATCAATTTATATTAAACTAATTTTGTAAATTAAAATTTTTAATATAGAAAAATGAAATGATGAAAAATGTACGAAATATCATTACACAAACACAATATAGTAATTATGTGATATTTTCTTTGAAATTACAAAATTTTACTTTTCTGAAATAGTAAGGAGAGTCCTAAAACTGAAATTTGATTTGATAATTATGATCTATAATAAATCTTTGTAAAAGATTGTAAAACTTGACACCATTTCTGTAAATAAACAAATGTCTACTAATTTCAGAAAGCTAAACTTTTTATTAAATAAAATAAAATGTCTTTGGCCAAAATCTGACCATCCTCAGTTTAAAATTTTAGCTTTAACAGTTTAGAAAAGTATAATATAAAATATATAAATTAGAACAAGATTTTAATTCTAATTTATTTTCAAAATTAGCAGGGATTTATTTTGTTATTTATAATAATAAATTTTCTACAACTGTTTTATAAAGCATAAATTAAGAAAAAAATAGAAAAACTTTAAATAAGTCAGTGATATGTATTAATATTTGCAATTAATTCCTAAAAAATGTAATCTTACAGTAATTTTATGAATGAAAATAAATTTACTATTTTCAAAACAGAACATTCATTTTAAATGATTTAAGTAATAAATAATTTTGAAATTATTGAATATATTTATCATTTCAATATATTTAAAAATATTTTTAATGCATAAAAATCTCCGTGTACTAGTTTTCTTAATTATTTTAGTGTAATTAAAATTAATTTCATGTTGACAACAAAAAGAAAATAAACATCTATCTAATTTTACATCAAATTATAAAATAAATTATAACAGTCAATTATTTTCTCTTTACTGCCAATATCAACTTAGTTATTATCAAACTATATAATTTATAATATTGAGGACATATTGCAAATTAGGCAGCCTTAAAAAACAGTATCATACTGTATGTGAAAATCATCACAGACGATCAATTATGGTCAGCCATTGAAAATACCATACTTCAACTTCAGATTTTATGGGACCACATTTAGCAGTATTTCCTGCATCACTAATATCTTAGTATATATGAGTGTCTTGTACAAATAAAATGTTTGTTGTTTGCAGTTCTAAGTGTCAGTGATGGGTTTTGGTACTTTTTATGAAAATGTCTTCTACATGTTCTGATATATCACTATGCCAGATTTTATTGCATTTGGACTGATAAATATCTCTCTAGATAGTGTTATATACATAGACTGAGGTAGTTTTCTTTAATTTACTTTACATTTATTATGTTATTTTATGTTTGTTAAATAACATTCCAATATACAGTATTCCCAATGGCATATTTAATTTTTAAAACTTTATCTAAGAGTAACAAAAAATATTATTTAAAAAATAAAATTTTGTTTTAAGATCCAAGACTATAATTTGATAACTAGAATTAATATATTAATTTATGAAATTATTAAAAAATAATATGCAAGACATTATTTTTTAAAATTAAGTATATGTCAGTTTGTTATAGTTTTGATCAGTGATTAATTTATAAATATTCATTAAAAAATATATTATAAAATAATAAGAAAATTTAATTATACCTTCATGGCCATCTTCTAAATTATCATCAAAAATTTCTCGACCATCTTCAACATATCCACAACCATCTAAAAAATACATTTACATAACTTACTTAATGTAATTAAATATATCAAAAATAAATTAACTTCTTATGACACATCAGAATCTGGATTCTTCAAATATATTTAGAACCAGTCGTTGTCAGGANACCCGAAAAATTCCTGGGAATTTTTCGATCCGTCCGATCCCCAGAGCGGTATGCTGCCACCTTGACCGCTCGGCCATCCGGCCGTCATCATGTGTGGTAAAGAGGAGACGTAGTAATTGTAGACTTTAAATTTTCTCACTAATATATTATTATTATTTTAGAATTAGTGTTAAAAATTTAATATCACAAATTTTATTACTAGTACACTAGTATATTTGAGTTCCAGTTTTTCCAAAGACAAAAAATAATCACATTTTTTTTTTTGCTTAACATTTTCTTGAAAATTAAGTTTACCACAATTTGAATAAAACTAAAATCATTAAACTTGCATTGAAAATATAGCTGATGATCAATGATTAAAACTAAAACAATTTATTTTTCACTTCAGCATATTATCTATGTATTAGCATAAATGATAAGAAAGAATTAAAACATCCAAATAATTCAAAAAATATTTCTATTCCACCTTCAGAACTGATTTTAAAATCATTATGTTATTCTGAAATATTTCCTTATTCTTTGTTATAGCACTTCTTTATGGGTTACCTACAAAGAATTCTATCTGTTTTGGAAATATCTATCATACATGTTTCTTTTAAAAACAAAAAATTAAGAAAAAACACATGATGCAGTTAGTAAATAATTACCAAATATTAAATAAAAAAAAACATTTCCTTTACAGGCACATAATTATATTAATAATAATAACAAATATTACAATATATCAAATATTTATATATGTGGTATATAATGTCAGATTTTTAACTCAAGGTATTAATTTCCATTCCTATCAATTTTTATCATATTTTCAAGAAATATTTTAAAAGACAGCTAACCATCATCTACTATCCAATCATCATCCTGACGTTGCTGAACAAGTTTAGAATAAACAGATTCATCAACTTCTTCATATACTGGAGTTTCTTCTTTTAACTAGAAAAAAATATAGTAAAATACAAATCACTAAGACTATATACATAATTATATTAACTTTATTACAATAGAAAACATTTAATGATAAATCATAATTTTCATAGACCATGTTTTATAATAATTTTGAAATACAGTGGAATCCCGGTTAACGACCAAATCGGTTAACAAACTTTTAATTTTGCAAAAATTTTGTCTCGGATAACGAACAAAACTCGGATAACAAACGTAACGGTATTTTGTGTCAAATTTTAGTGCATGTTAGGCATGCGTGCGTTAAGCATTGCTTTTCCCAGTGTTTGTGCTATACTTCTTTTTCAGTTTTGTGATTTATATATTTAATCAATATGGCATCAAAGAAAGAAAAAAGTCATAGTGGCAATAGAAAACGACAACGCGCTATCGCATTTGAGAAAAATTTTGATTAAAAGAGTAAGACAATCAACTTTAGATCAATTTCTTGTTCCTTACGGAGAGTTTGTTTGTTTGTTAAGTTATGGCAATGCAGCACTTGGACGATCTGCCTAGGGGGATTGCCTTCTGAGAGGTGTTTTTAAGGGAAACTGCTATTTAGGCATTACAGACGTGGAGAAAACCCAGAAAACTCCACGTGGCCAGCCCGTCTGAGCGAGGTGCAAACCCACGAACGAACTCCCTGTGTTCAAGGTATGAAGACCACTTAGCCACTGGTGGGTTTTTTTACCGAAAGAGACTTTGACTCAAAGAATCTTCCGATGAAGTGCTACCCGTTATTTTTTTGGAGGGGATTTCCCTTCTAAGCATTAAGGTTCGTATATCTCCACTTTTCTGCCACTAACTACACAAACGAAGGTATGTACAGTGCTATTTTATTAAACAAAGTTTACATGTTTGTTGCTGTAATGATAGATACTACGTTTTCCTACATTTTCATCAAAGAAAATTACTGTATATTACAAATAAAATCACAAAAATTTCGGAGATTAGAACGGATTAATTGCATTTGCATTAATTTCTATGGGAAAAATCGCTTCGGTTAACGAATAATTCAGTTAACGAACGAAGTCGCAGAACAGATTAAGTTCGTTAACTGGGGTTCCACTGTATTTATCTCTGCAGCTAAAACTACACATCGCGCATGAGTTGTGTGTGGTAGTAGCCCCAAGTCTCCCATCGTGCACTATGGTGGTTGCGTCTCGATAGCTATTCGCTTGTGCCAACGATCGATCTGGCATCTTGCGGTATTAGCGCGAACTACGTAATGGCGGCTGCTATGGGTATAAAGTCTGTGGTCTGTTAGAATTAGAAAGTGTTCAACTTACAATGGTAAATAATAAGTATTACTGTGAATTTGGATGTAAGTCTAAAGGTTCATCGAACTCAGTACATATGCGTTATACGATGGAACGATATTTAACTTTGCATTCANCCCATATATATATATATATATATATCTAATGTATTTTCAAAATAATTATAAAAACAAATTTCTAAAAAATATAAATTAAATTATGGGTTTTGGTCTATTCTAAATTCATAATACTGGAAGACTGTTTAGACCTGTATTATAACTTTCATGAATTCCAATAATGTTAGCCACTTGGAATTTCAAAATAATAAAAGCATTCCTCTATTTAAACTTCATTTATGTTAAATTTATTTATTTACTAATTCAAAATTCATATATAATTTTCATTATTTTGTTTTACCTCATACTTATTTTTGCTTCCTTTTAAATTCTTTAAACGTTCTAATGCAGCAAATCGCCCAGTTCTATCAAGACGCTGACGTTTAGAACGTGATTTTGCTAGTGAAAATGAGTCATTATCTAAAAATATAAACAAAATTATTTTAAAATAAAGAAATTAAAAGAAGATTCTCATATAATTTTATAATTAAAAATATCTCAATATTATACAGTGATATAAAATTACTTTAAAATATAAAATATTAGTATCATTAAATCAAGTACTGTCAAGTCAAATTTCATACGAACTATCATCATAATGTAGTAATTGTAGACTTTAAATTTTCTCACTAATATATTATTATTATTTTAGAATTAGTGTTAAAAATTTAATATCACAAATTTTATTACTAGTACACTAGTATATTTGAGTTCCAGTTTTTCCAAAGACAAAAAATAATCACATTTTTTTTTTTGCTTAACATTTTCTTGAAAATTAAGTTTACCACAATTTGAATAAAACTAAAATCATTAAACTTGCATTGAAAATATAGCTGATGATCAATGATTAAAACTAAAACAATTTATTTTTCACTTCAGCATATTATCTATGTATTAGCATAAATGATAAGAAAGAATTAAAACATCCAAATAATTCAAAAAATATTTCTATTCCACCTTCAGAACTGATTTTAAAATCATTATGTTATTCTGAAATATTTCCTTATTCTTTGTTATAGCACTTCTTTATGGGTTACCTACAAAGAATTCTATCTGTTTTGGAAATATCTATCATACATGTTTCTTTTAAAAACAAAAAATTAAGAAAAAACACATGATGCAGTTAGTAAATAATTACCAAATATTAAATAAAAAAAAACATTTCCTTTACAGGCACATAATTATATTAATAATAATAACAAATATTACAATATATCAAATATTTATATATGTGGTATATAATGTCAGATTTTTAACTCAAGGTATTAATTTCCATTCCTATCACATTACCAATACTAGAAACTTCTGCTAATAATTAAAATTTTACTAGATTATCAATTTTGCTTATAAATTTTTCAAATTTTTACAGATGTATTTCATCTTTGATAATTTTCATTAATTTTTCCAATTACATCATTTCCAATGTGTCTCAAGAAAACAATGATTATATTTCTTACCGCAATACGACATATACTATAATATGACAATTTAATTCTAATCATATTATAGTATATTATATAACCTATATAATATAAATATCATAGTATTGCATGATGGTTCTCATTTCAACTTTAAAGCAATTGAACTATTACATAATGGTAAGAGTAAATGTTTGGGGTAAGAAATATAATCATTGTTTTCCTGAGACACAATGGAAATGATGTAATTGGAAAAATTAATGAAAATTATCAAAGATCAAATATGTGGAATAAAATTCAATCAAAAACTAAACAAAGCAATCAAATTTAACACTAATCTATTTATGTTTACATTGGTTATAAGCATTGTTCATTATTAAACTCATATGCCAATATTGGAATTTTAAAAACTACTTTTGGTCAATTTTATTGTTTAAAAAATATAAAATAAATGTAATATATTGTACTAAATATAAAACATAAGAAAGATAATGTATAATAAAAACAAACCTGTATCCATGTTAACATTAGACATTATGTACTATTAACTTTGGCGCGAATTAGTCACCTGACCAAACTATTCTGCGACATCTGTCGGTAGATATTAAGAAACTCAAAAAAAATATGTTTTTGTTTTCTTATCTCAATTTTTAAATTTAAATTATAAAAAATAACACATCATATTTATATAATAAATAATTATGACAAAAAAATTTTATAAGGAAATTATTAAAGTACACAAATTCTTTACATCAAAAAAAAAATAATGATATATTCAATTTCAGATATCATGATTGTTTTATTTTATTACTTTTCCGTACATAAAGTACATTTCATAAGAAATTTAATAATTTTTTGTATACATTTTCAAAAGAAAACATTAATTTCCATTAAATCCAACTTATGAACTTGGGTAATCGTATTTGATGGAAATTAATATCTTTTAAAGCATATATATATATATATTTAAATGAAATACACTAAATTTTCGGAATATAGTCTATTCATACACAATTATGTTAAAAGAGAGAATTTTGTATAAATTTTTAGTAGTTTGATTTCTATTACAAAACTCGATATTGTTTAATCCAGTTACAAGTTACTTGGCCTATTTTCAAAGAAACATAAAATTACTAAAAGCAGAAAATAACGTAACTTTTTTTTCTTCTTATTGAATTCAACTTTTTTTTTATGTGCCAGCTGCAGGGAAAAAACTGCATAATTTCAACATATACAAAGAAATCCGTTTTAATCAATTCACTGGAAGAACTCGAAAAATAATCAACAATATTAGACCTCAAGAGGACCGCAAGATGCGGCTATCGGTTTCATCGTAGATGAAGCTACAATCAGGAAAAAAAACGAAGTTAACTTTATTTTCTTAAATGGTGACCGGCGTTTTTCATTGCGCATTACGATTTTACATCAAAAACAAACAAACTTTTATTTAAAACATTTTTTCGAAAAATGCATTTATCGGAAGTTATGAGTATTTGAAGTTTTACGCGATCGCTACATGGTACACGTGTGAATCTATGGACATCTGTAAAGTTCATTGAAAAAAGAAAAAAAAAAAAGCTTAAAATCATTAGCAAACTATTATTATTTGGCGGAATCGTTCTTTTTATTCAAATAATCAACTGATACAAAAACTAGCGCAACGGCATGTTGAAACCATCATGAATGTGGTTTTTATTTATATTTTTTTAGCTCTTTTCACGCTGTGGGCACTAATAGGGCCTCTTAGGGATGGTGAGGAACGGGGCACGATATATCCAAACGGACCACACCCGAAAAATTCCTGGGAATTTTTCGATCCGTCCGATCCCCAGAGCGGTATGCTGCCACCTTGACCGCTCGGCCATCCGGCCGTCATCATGTGTGGTAAAGAGGAGACATTGATCTCTAAAAAGAAAATGAAGTTGATCTTGTTTTCCCGATTGTGGCGTCATGTATGACGAAACGAATTTTGTCGCCCTCTTGTAAATCTAATATTTTTTGTTCAAATTTTTTTTAGAATGATAGGATGAGTATTTTCAAGTTATTTCAATAGATTGATTAAAAAGGACTATCCTGTATAAATTGATCATAGTTACATTTAACGTTAACTTAAAACTTTAAAAAAAAATAGTAATTTGCATGTAAAACACTAATTAACTGGTTTAATTCGTTCGTTCTTGACCTTCTATTGAATTAATGGAACGTGTCTCACAAAATAGAACATGTTCGTTTCTCCTACTTTCACGGGTTTTTTGTATCAAGAAAACTAGTCCGAATTTTATTTTATTTATATCAAATTAATGTTGCGCAGAGGTTTAAAGTAAAACGAATGCATTTCTTTAAGAATTTTATTTTCAACAGAATCAAATTTAAAAAATTAATACAAAATTCACAATGCAAAAATATCATTTGATAAGAATTTAACGATGTTATTATACATTGTTTAATCTAATTACTATTACATTAAAACTGATGAAAAATATAATTTTATGATTATTCATTTCTGTTGAAAGGTAATTTTTTTCTGTCTTTTAATGATGATTTCATAAATTTAATATTAATTTAACATTTTTATTACTCATTTTTATAATTTTGAGAATGATTATTCTAATAAAAATATTCATTACCAATGTAGACATATAATTGAATAATTTCTTTAATTTTTAAATATATTGTAATTATCATTATATATTATAATGATAATTGCATTCCTAGGTTTGTCCGTGAAAAATTTTCTTGAATAGATCTGATCCGAATACATTGACCGGATGGTCGAAGCGATTAACCCTCTTAAAATTAACCGACCGCCTGGGGAGGATTCCTCGGGAATTTTTCATGGACGATTAGTTCGGATATGTTGGACTCTATCCTTCACCACCCGACAACACGCGTTGTGCTTTAATTAATTAGATATTCCCTATTTCCGGGGATCGTCCCGGTTTCATGTTTTTAATATTGTAGAATCAATCTTTGAGTAGTTAATAAAATTGCTCTTTGAGTAGAGCAATTTTATTAACACGTCAATATAATATAATCGATTCATAGATCAATAAATAAGTTTACTTAAAAAAAAAACAGCCGAAGTTGATTGAACTTCGGTTTTTTAGACCCCATTTTCACTGATTCTGAATAGCGTCCTTTGTTGGATTGTAAATGATATAGTCTGTGTACTGTACTTTAGTCGAATTTATGATGGGCATGAAAATCGGCCACCTTAGTATTTGTAGAGGGTAAAGAATTTTAAATGTTCCTGGAATAATAGATAAAGAACATTTTTTAAATAAATATAATATCTCGATTTAATTTTCTTTTAAAAACAATTAATAAATATTAGTTATGCTCTGCGTTGAAGCTTGTATTAACTTGAAGCTTGTACAAACTGCAACGTACAGTACAGTACAGTATAACGTAAATTAAAAGAATATTTTTAAATAAAAGATTGGACTTTGATAAGATTTAAGCGTAAATTACTTACAATTCTATTTAAAATTCTAAGATAAGATTTACAGATATGTTTCAATTAACGTAAACCATTACAGAAGCCAATGGCATATTTAGTTCATTTCTTTCTCAATGAATTATTTCATCGCGTTTATTTCAAAGAGAGATAAATACTAAACTTTCATTTAAGTTTTTTTTTATTTTAGTGTTATTTAAACTTTATTAAATGAGATAAAGAATCTATAGTAATTAGAAAGACCTAAATTAGTGTTTTTACAACCCATTAACATTCTGGTTATCTACTTATTCTGTTATAATGACTTTTAGGAATTTAAGTGGAATGTACCCGTGGGAATGTAAATTTAGTCGTAGTAAAATTCAGGGAGTACAGTACATAGTTCAGATAAGATACCGAACTCAATATTTATTAAGATTATTTAGTGCATTTTATATCTCATTCTTCAAATTTTTTAAACGAAAATGTTTAAATTAGTAATTAAAAGCAGCTTTTTTACTTTAAAAAAATGCAAGAAAAAATTACAGAGGATTAAATTTTAGAAAGAATCTAGAATTAAAAAAATAACGTTTCTCCAATTGACTTGACCTAATTCTGTACTAAATTTAGTCCATAATATAGGAAAAGAATCGTTCTTTCTTTTACTTTAACAGTGTTACAACAGTTAAAGTAATTGCGTTTGAAATAAACAATTGAATCGACTTGTTCAATGAGCATAGAACGGGAAGTTTCGCAACAGTTCGGATAGTAAATCTATATATTTTAGTACAAAGATCATGTCGTAGGTGATTCACTGCCTTCGAAGATTTGTTTATAGAAGGCGCTTTATCAGAGTTTATCTCGTTGGAAAAATCCACCTGTCAGAAAATGCCAGCTAGGCGGTCTCCATCATTCGGTAACCAATAGGCTCTGCTGTGCAATTATGCTATGGTAATTCCCTAGTATCCTCTTTCGACACGCCAGCTTGGCAATCGTACGATTGATGATGACATATTATGACGTTTTCGAGTTTATACAAATATTTATGATTAAAATCGAGTTTTGTTTTATTGCTTAACTCAGTCGTTAGAGAATTAATTGAGGGTGAGATAATAGCAGCTCAGTTTTACTTAACTGCTTCTAAACACGTGTAAGTAAAAATTCGTATTTTTAACTCGTTCTACAGTTTGATATTCATAATTATGCCGTTTATTATATATTAATATACATTACTAATGAATTATATAGTTTAATTATCAAATCTACGCCTAACATTCTAATTTTCAAACTAGGTTGAACTTATAAATAATAATCTATTGATATTGACATACACGTATAGGACTAGGTTGGGATATGATTTACAAACTGAAATTGACTAATATTAGTCAATTTCAGTTTGTTTCAATGTATTATTAATGTTAACATAAATTATCATCAATTGTTGTAACTATATATATAAGACCAACAATAAATGTTAAAATTTTCATTTTTTAATAAATCGTAAATTAATTTTACATTGATAAACTCATTACTGAAAAGTGCAAGCACCAAGATGTCATCAACATGTATGGCAGCTATAAATAGTTAAACTGAAGTCTTTATTAAATCTTACACTGAGAATTTATTGTCTTTTTCTTTTGCTCCACTTAAAAACTTCACATAATGTCTTAAAACTTTTCTCCATAATTTTAAATATAACTTATATATAATAATTTAATTTCATTAATTGAACAATTTATTTTTTAAAAAATTACTGTAGATTTTTATTTAGATATGATCACTTGAAAGGTCTTAATCATTCATAGTATTTCCAGTTGTTGTTTTCAAATTATTAGTCTTGGACAATGTTAGCTATTTGAAGAATTTATTGTTGTTGCTGAAACAGCAGAATTAAAAAATGTATTTTTAAGTAACATATTAAAAAATTACAAAAATTTTTTTATATTAAATTTGTTTAAAGTAATTGAAAATTGATTTTAAAACTCATCAGAATTTTTATATTAAAGTTTAAATTAAAAATCTAATCGGCCATCTGTTGTAAAATACCAAATCTATTGGTCTTTTACAATAGTCTAAAATACTAGTTGGTCAATCGGCTAAATACTGTATATCCTATGACCAGTTAAAATAAATCAAACTCATATTTTTTATTTTTTTATTAACTGTCATTTTGGTATTTGATTTATCTCAATGAGTAAGGTGTAGTAAATCAAAGTGATTTTGTACAGTAGATTAAAAAAAAAGAATTTTAAAAATTTTATTAATGATTTTATCAGTTTTTGCAATCAGAATACTACTAGGTTCAAAAGACATTACTTAAGTAGTAATAGATAAAAACAGCTGATTTAATAATTTAATACACTGTATATTTGATGTATCACATGCATGTCTGCAAGTTTGCACATTTAAGAATTAATTTAATAGTTGCAAATTTTAATTTACATTAAAGTAAGATGTTTAGTTAAAATTGGGTGATTAGTTAAAATTAGGGATGTGTTAATTAAAATTAGTTGAAGTGATTAATTAATAAATTGAAACTGATAATGCAAATAAACAGAAAACACCAGAATAAGAACTAACTAAAAATCTGAATTTTTTTAATCAATTATATATATATGTGTGTATGTTATGTTAACTCTTGCAGTATGTGTGAGCATTTAGACCACTACATTTATAACAATTAAATTTATTAATTTCTAGTGGGGTTTCCATTTTGAAGTACATACCAACACTACACCTGCAGGGGGATAAGACAGAACAAGAGACAAACTGTCAAAACTNAATATATATACTGTACAGTATCTGATATGAATTAGATTTTTAATAACACGTACACAATACACTCCAGTAGTTTGGGTGGGAAAATTTTTTAGTATATATACTGTATATATATTTAAACAGTATATTGTAGAATGTATGTATAATCTTGAATTGACAAATGTGATATTAATAGGCTATGTATTATATTTTTCTTCTTCTATGTTTTTAATCTGTTTTGACCAGATCTTTTCGTATATTTTTATATTTCTTGGTTTACTATTAGATTTTCTTTTGGTATCTAAATGTGGGCTATCTTTAGTATAATATTATTACTTCTTAATTCTCTGTTTTCCATTTTAATCATATTTTCTGTCCATCTGTCTAATTCTTGTTTTTTATATTTGTCTTATAATAAACAGATAAACAAGGAGGATATATTAAAAATCAAATATTTATTATCAGTAGTGATATATAATGATAGTGGTAATCAATATAACTTATTTATCTTTTATTATATAGTTGTAAATAGTTGCGTTAATATTTATATAGGTTCATAATTGATTCATTTCCATTGTAAAATTTAATAAGAAGTTTGCATATTATAATTTTTTTTTGCTGTTAGGATATAAGAATAATTTGATGTTGAGTCAACAGTGTAGATGAGTGACTCAATCTGAAGCATAAATTTGTTGTACAGAAATAAAACTGAGAAAGTTATTTTTACACAGAAAATAGATATCAACACTTGCTGTCATGTATATATATTGATAAAACATAATGTTAAGCACTTTTACAACTGCACAGAAGAAAAATAAATTTTGATTGCCAATAATGATATACTGATATGAGAAATTGAACACCTATATAACAAATTTTTATATTTATAATTGCAAAGGATTCATAAGTCTTGAGATTCTTTCAATAAATATTTTTTTCTTTTGACAAAATTTAGTTGAAGGGGTCAAATGTAATTTTTATTTTTTTATTTTGATAATATATACCAGGTTTATGCATTTATGACTTGTGATAAGATACTGTATATATCAAATAGTATTTAATAAGTAAATTAATGTAATATAATTTTTGTAGATGTAAATTCTAAGGAATCTAAGGAATACCTGATATATTGAATTCTTTTCATCAAAAACACTTCACACCTCAGTATGTAAAATTTAATAAACAATCAAACAACAGCCAAATTAATCGGGCAGGAATTATGTTACAAATATTAAATTTGGAAATTATATGGTCTGGATAATTCCTGCCTAATTAATTTGGCTGTTGGTTGGTTTGTTGTTTATATATATCAGGTTATTGAAATCTTTATATACATAAAATTTAATGAATGCACAAATGTTTTCAGCCACTTTAAGGGGACTTCATTGAACAAGTTACAAAATTTTGTAACTAAGTGGCTGAAAATCTTTGATCATTCACAAAATTTTATATGCTGGAGTAAGTATTAGAGGTGTGAAGTGTGTTTAATCAACAGTTCCAGTTTTTCATCAAAAATGAAAAAAAATACACACACTTTAATAATCTGATAACTACTAGTTAACAACTGGTTATTATTAGATAAAAATGAACACTTTTTAATAAGAGATCTCGTAGTGAATTGTAACATCACAAATATCTTTTATGAATTATTCATTTTTTTCATAGGTAAAATACTTATTTATTATCTAAGTAAATATTTTACCAGAGGATTATTCATTTTATATGATGATCTCAGCATGAGCATCATCAACTGGTAACAGTTTGTGGGTGCATTCTTTAATAGCAGTCACTCTGCAACGGGAGTGCGCTGCTGTTTGTAGACATTTAGGAACCATGGTGAAAGAAAGATGGCACCGCTCGCACTATCGATAGTATCGTGTGGAGGAATCTATAATTCTAAAATGAGCTTTTATAGAAAAAGAAGGGTCCCAATTGTAAAATTTAACCATTACTTCCGAATTCCATTACTTTCCATTACTGAAAACGTTCTACCCATAATGTTTCTTCCAATTCGGAAAACTAATATTTTTCGTATTTATTAACATTTTATTAAAAATTAGAGTATTAAATATTAAATGAATGGGTAATTTCGACTGTTCTTATGCATGTGTTTTACTTAGACCTGAATAATGTCAAATATTTCAGTATCTTATATTATATACTATGCAATTATAATAATCACCAAACTTTAACATATAAATATGATTTATTTAAAACTTCAGCATTTAAAAAGTAATAAAAGAAAACAACTAATAGTTTACTTTCTAAGTAGATATATATTTTGAGTATTAAAAATATTTACTGATAGTTCAGAAAAAATAAATAACAAGAGAAATTGATTATTTAAATTATTGATTAGCAATTTAATCATTTAAATTAACGTTGCTGTCCCATGTGATTTTAAAGTTATAAAATAGAGAAAATCATTAGCTTTTAGCATCAGATATAATTAGAAATACATAGTCAAGCAAGACTGTATATTATTACTCTTCAACTTTTGTTTTCTGTTAGAGACTATTGCTATTTTGTTATCACAACTAATCTCTTATCTTGTTTTGTTCAATACCATATGAATTTTACTAAAAGTTCTAAGAGAACAGAATGAAATTTCAAATTTTATTCAAGGAAATTTAAAAAATTGAAATTAAATATTTTAAAATAATATACAGTACTACAAAATTATAATATACATAAAAAAACAAAAAATATCAAATGCATATTAAATTCTTAAAATTTAAAATATTTTACATAATGATACATCAATATTAATATGTTAATGAAGAAATAGTTTTGGATATAGTTTCTACATTTTACTGTTTTTTATGAGTTATTATTGAGTATTAGTCAGTATTGTGATAAAACTTTCAAGGTTTAGAATTATACTAGTTATATTTATTTCATGATTTAAACATTTCAAACTATAAATAGATATGTATTCATCTGTAGCCTAATTCTAATGAAGTAATTTCAGGCATAATATTTAGCTTTTAATTTGTTATTTATTCATCTTGTAATGTTTGTAATATTCTACTGAAAGTTGTATAGAAAATTTATCTTATAAATGTCCTTTATGAATAAAAGGATAAGATTAATTATTGTATAAATTACAGTAGAGTCTCGAAAACTCAGCCTAATGTGGACCGAAGGGTGGCCGAGTTTGTGAAAATGCCAGGTTATCGGGAATGGGGTTAAAAAAAATAAGTATGAGTGTTTCCTCAGAAAATACTGTACTGTACTTGTATATATTGTTTACTTGAGAATACAACAGAGAATAAACTGCCCAAATACCCTTAAACAAAGGAAAAGTACATCCTTTATGAAGGCATAGAGCCTTTACTACATGAATATGAAAATTAATGAATACACTGTGTACAGTAATTTACCTGATAAGAC